ATTTGTGCATTAATTAACAAAAATTAGTAATTCATTACGCCAAAATTATTTGTGTAGCTGGTTTTGTGTTACAGTGGCCAGTGTGAAAGAAAACTGCAATGTGCAGTGAAAAATACATGTAAGTGCACTGAAATTTCAGAAATTGAATTCAAACATAAATGCATTTAATATGTTTAAGTTTTATTTGAACATGAACAAATTTGTTTACATGGCAGAAAATAGGAAAAAATACTTAAAAATTTTAAGTTGATGATGATGATTAAAAATGATGATTCTCCACACCCAGAATTTGGCGATAGGGTCCTTTAAAACCATAGTCGCCCTTTAAAAGGGAAAGTATATAAGGTATTTCTCCCGACTTCTTGGTGTGGTGGTCTGCACGCTGGGTGCGTATTCCAGAGATCTGTGGTTTGATTCCCGCCAAAGGCGTTGATCATTTTTCATCTCTCCTGCTTCCAAAAAATACCTAATGTCTCTACAACGTGAATATAAAGTTTAAGAGTTTAGGCATTTGAGGTTCAAAGCATGTTTGATCTGTAAACAATCATGAGTTATGTTTTGTAATTAGGATAAATATATGTGGACACCCTGTAAGAAAATGCTTCTAAATTGTTAAAAAAAATGGGCTGTGTTTTTTCAAAGAAATATCAAAATATAAGAAAAACTGTTCATTTTGCATGAGAAATTTAATTCACCATTCATAATAATAAATTCTAATTCTCATAATGATAAATACATAAGTACTACTTCTGTGGCAATTGAAAATAAATTTAAATTCTCGAATAGACAAAAGTGTTCATTTAATACATTTATTCGTAATAATGTACAAGCCATAATATATATAGCTTGTTAACTACATAATTTATTTTTGAAGTACTTCTGAAGAGAGGGATAATAGAACAGTTCTAAAACCAAAGAGTGAACAATTTGCAAATGGAGAAGAGAACTATCAAACATTATTATTGTATAATATTAATATCAAACATTATAAATTGTATTAGGTATGAAATGGATAAAATACTTTTTTTAAATAAAAATAGATCTTGCAATAATTTTTTATTTGGTTTCTTTTTTAAGAGGGTCAGTTTTTGTTAATTGGTTACTGTTTAAAACATGAACTTTTCATTACATGAGGTGATTGATTTGCATTTTTTATTTCTCTACTGTTTGGAGTAAAAAATTAATGGTTTTCCTGAAGTTTGTAGTTTTCTCCAACATTTGAGGATGTCTCTTAGAACAGTGTATATATCAGTGGTTTTCAACCTTATTTTGCCCCATGCAGCTCTTTTACCATTTCTAGACAATCATTCCCCCTTTTCAAAACTCAAAAAATATATTTATTTAAAATTTAGATTATTTTTAATGTGTTTTATATATTAAACAATAAAAAGTTTAGAAATTGCTGATAAATACCAAAACTTGAATAAAAGTAGTTTTTTTTATTCATAAACTAAATCCTTAGCAGGTAAATAAAAGTCTCACTGTATTCCCTCTGAAACTATGGTATCCCGCCCTGGTATATATAGTGATTCTCACTATTCATATATTCCTTTATAACTTTTTTAATTTTTATTATTCCCTATGAAAACTGATATGGATTTATCTCTTTCATTACAAAATAAGATTTGATTGGAGTGTATGCTCAAAACGGTAGCTGCCGGCATCTACCATATTTACTCGCATATTTTCCCCCTTAGCTTAAGTGCAAGGTTCTGAAAATTTTTTAAATAGTCATGTAATTTCCTTTTTCTTGAGACACCCAGAAAGCCAGCTGCCTTAAATTTTAAAATTAATTCATTCACATGGTGGTTATTTTTGTCTTACTGATTTACTAATATATTTTGGGCATATGGGTTCCAGTTGATAAAGCTATAATGAAGAGCTTCAAGAAAATGTGGACATCTAATGCTCTTGGTGGTCCAGAAAATCATTGTACGAGTGAAGCATCTGAAAATTGACAGACTGGTGGGAACTTGTAAGTTGATAATAACACAGTGCCAGCAATTTAAGGTCTGTAGAGTAGCTGAGGACAGCAATAAGAGCAGGCGAGATTTAAGATACAGGAAAGCACAAATGTATTATTAGATATTGCATTGCTAATGTTACTGTGTATTCTTATTGGAATGTAGGTTTCTTTTAAATAAATAATATCCTTTGGAAATTATTTGCATAATTTTTTCCATCTTGATTTATGTGCAGTAAAAATTAGCTAAAAAAAGGGAGAGATATGCAATTAAATATGGTAATTATTTTGACTTGTGAATTTATAAATTGCTGCAAATGCATATTAATGTGAAACATTAATGATTACTAAAAGAAACTTTATGCTATGAAAAAAATTCTGTTTATCACGTTTACCATCATACTCTTCAGAAGAATAAATGCACTCATATTTTCTAGATGCATCATTAGAATATCTTCGTGAGATTTGCAATTCACATATAAAAGTATTTGAACGGTTGCCATTTTCAGCATATGCTGTAAGCCAGGTATGTCATACTTACTCTTAAGCCGCTTGTGACACGATGCATTTTTCTGTGGCCCTTGGCACATGCCAAAAAGATAGCAGAAAATTATTAAATACAATGATTTACTATATAAAAGCATAAATTATAATATACTAGCGGGCTAAAGCCCGCTTTTAATTGTTCGTGTATGTAAGAGTTCCTGTGTTCAATTTCGCCTATTTGGATAGTTGGACTGAACTACTAGTTTCCAGCGATTTAAACTGGTTTATTCCCGTACGCATCCATAAGGTACTGCATACACCTTACACATGCGGAAAATCACGAAAACACCCATTCAGCCAGCCCGTTCCCCAGGATTCGAAAGTTGGACCGAACTACTAAATTTTAGCAGTTTTGCACGGGCCGCGCCCGTTTTATTCATGTACTCATCCACAAGATACTCCTGACACTCCTGATACACTGATACACATGCGTAAAATCAAGCCTGCTCGCCGGGACTCGTAAGTTGGACCGAACTACTAGTGTTCAGCTTAATCCCTAAAATAGGGAAAACCCGAGAAAGAAAGTGCAAAACGTAGGGGAAAATTAGTTAGCAGAGTCATTAAAAATGCCCTAATACAGTTTTTCTTCCCTTCGGATTTCTTTGTTGACAGACTGCGATGAGTTTTGAGGGGGGGGGCTGGTTTCCGTAAGTACCAGTTTATTTGTAGAGCTGTTAGGTTTAAACATGAAAAATCAGCAGTGCCCTCATCGGGACTCGAACTCTGGGTCTTTTGATTGGACTGAATGTGCTTTTTAGTTACATCAAGGAGGAATTTTAAGGAAGGGGGGGGAATTTCTTACACATGTAAAGATGGAATTAACAAAAATTCAGTGCAGCTTGGCTTTAAAGGAAAAATTCAATGAAGTAGTTAAGTCATTCATCTAACCTGTGTTTTGAAAATCACCATCACGAGTAGCTATCTCCAGACAGGAAAGCTCATTGCTGGGAAAAGATGTCAAGTGTGGGGAAAACAATATACAGTCAAAAGTCGTTAATCCGGACTCGTCGGGACTTCGCCGATTCCGGATTATAGATCATCAGTTTAAATCTGGTAAGATGGCATGCAGAAATTACAAAATTAAAAATATGAAACCGTAATTTATGAAATAAAGAACAATTATGATCTAAAGGGTATCAAAATTTACAAAAAGAAAAAGCTTAATATTTATTTGTTTACTTTATTAAACATTTCCTTCAATGTAAGTTGCTTCCTTTCATGTGATAATACTTTCTCTTTAATTCTATTAAACAGACATAATTTCTTGTTTAGTTACAAAGTACCGCTGTTCAAGTCCTATAATTGCTGTGTTGAGAATACCGACTAATTTGTCAATCGAAATGTTTTCGTTTTCAATAACCTCTGGGTCACTTTCTTCACTATCGGAAGCGAATTATAATGACGAGGAACTTGATTTAAATCATATCAAAGACGGAGTATATCGAGATGAAATACTACACTCAGTACGGAATTATAAACCAAATAAAATAAAAACATCTGCTCTGAAGATAACGATAGTGCTGACAGATCATCTTCCAATCCGCGGCGTGAAATTGATAAACAGATTTCGGATTTCAAAACGCTTTGTAGATACAAATTACATATTAGTAAATATATATCGGAAATTCTATTTGACATAATCTTTCTAATCTATCATAATCTAATAATGACGTTTCTGCACCCCCCCTCCCTCTGCCGCAGAGTAGCGTGAAATTGATAAACAGATTTCGGATTTCAAAACATACTTTCGCTTTGTAGTAAATATATATCGGAAATTCTATTTGACATAATCGAAAGTTCAAGCTTACTTTTATAAAATTGCTCTAACAGTCTGCAAAAAATAATAAGCCGTGGATCCAATTCGAAGATTAAGGAACAACGCAATCTGCAACATTAACTGAATTAGATAACTTTAGCGTAGCGTATAACTCCGTTACACATTAAACGCGCATGCGCACAAAATATTCGCAACTGTAAGGGTCTTATGCGCTCTCGTAAACACCTGTGCGCATGCGTGAACGCGACGCATGCGCAGAAAGTTTGTAGCTTTGAGGTCCGGATTATGGGTGTCCGAATTAACGACTTTTGTATATCCAACTACTATCCAAGTTTCCTTTATCCATTATTAAGCAGAAAAATCACTTTTCACATGTTATACACGTATGACTATTTGGCCCACATCATTTACTGAATTTGACTCCAAGCAGACGTTCTTTTGCAGTGTTATAGTGTAAGCATGTGTCAGTTATCACAGCAAGTTGAACGTTTAGATTTCCCAGTAAAAGGATCATTCAGTATATAGAATCAGCATTTGCAAATAAAGCTTGTATGCTTGTTGTCTTAATGATATTTGGTGCTTTTAATGAAAACATTGCATTATGTATGAATTACTTGAAATTTATGTTGTATTTCTTCCTTGGAAGAACTATGATTACAAATTCTGAGAAAATTTTTTATCTGAAATCTTAATATTTATTTTTTATTTCTGCAGGTGCAGTCCCAATCATATGATACTCTGTAATGTGTAGAGAAAATTCAAAATTCAAGTATATGCATTTTGTTTGTAAGGAAGCGAATGAAAATGAAATAAAATGTGAAAATTGTTTCTTATATCCCCTAATTTTATTGCTTGATGTTTTTCATTAATGTGCATTATTATTCATCAAAAGGCTGGAAAATTTTGCCCTTTCTTATTATGATAATGAAATATTTAAAAAATTCTATAAGTTTATGCAAATTATGATTTTTTTAAAATTATTTCGGTCACCTTGCTTAAAAGTCAAATTAGTTATTGAACATCATTATCGTATGAATGAGAACCTGAAATCAACATTAACTGATGCCCTTCCTTAAATTTCACAGTGTTCTAAACAGTTTCAGTGTATTTATGTAGGAGACTTCTAATTTGAAAACTTTATTACCAATCACCAGGTCAGACATTAAATTTTCTACAAATGCATAAACATTTTTAACAAAAAGCACTAAATTTACAATGTGTAAGCATATTTAAAAAAATACAAGTGAAACGTATGCAAATACATCTGTGAGATATAGAAGGATTGCCTTATAACTGTATCACAATTCAACAGATGGTTTTTCACATGAGGTTTTGCACACATACACACATAAATATGAAATTAACAAAAGCATATTCACCTCATTTCTATTAAATGGAAGTCTATCACATACCTATATTATATATAATTCTGAAAAACGTATAAATAGTAAGTGGACATAAAAAAATAAATACGAAAAGTGATCTCTTGAAAATGATTTTACTGCAAATATAATTGATTGTTTCTTCATTTCAAAAAAGAAAAATGCATAGCTGATTTTCTAAGTTTGTATAATGAGTGTCCTATTTTGTCAAATCTACAGCATCGATTCAAACATAATAAGAATTAAGAATGAAAATGCTTCATTATAAAAAATTGTAAATGTATATTTACCAAATTAAACATATCAAAATGATAACTTGTAATTAAATGTTATGCTAAATAACTTATTAAGCAATATCTCTCTTGCTGAGGTAAGCTCTCTCACTTTAATATTTTCATACAGTGAAAAGATTTAATTATTACAAACCTAAACTTTAAAAAAATGCTTAAATTTTCTTCACTTTACACATCATTTAATGCATCCTTGGCTTGTAATTTGCAAAGTTTTTATGCAAGTCCACTCATCATACTAGAATGATCAAAATCTTCTGAGATCATACGAGGTTAACAAAATACTGTACAAATGCATTTTCTATGAGAATTTTTATAGTAGTATTTGGGAAAATATTGACTATATGAAGGTACCCTACAAGACGTTACACTTTTTTATATTTCTGATCAATGAAAAAAACTTTGTTTTAGATATTCAAAATTTAATATGGTGAAAATTCATTTGCCAAATTGATTATAAAAAAATAGGAGCTTTGCATTGTAATGGTTTTTGCAAACACTTTTTTACGTTCTAATCACTTGAAAGTACAGGAGATGCTAATGCAAATGTAACACACATACAAATTTAATTTATACGTGTAATTCCCTAGAATCAATTTTCCATGATTATGAGATTAGATTTGTTTTTAAATTTAAAATTAAATAAAAGGAATTTTGATTGTGACAAAAGTGGACTGAACTTGTAGAATTTTTCATTCATATAATAAATATATAAAGTGGATATATATATATATATGCAGTCTACCCATACAAAACAATATTTAGAAGTCATATTAAATGCCTTATGGTCAATAGAAATTTCAAAATGAAATAGTTCATGTATAAAGCAAATTTTATTACTACTACAAGGACCAAAAGTAAAACAGAAAATGTGCTTGGAATAAAATATGTTATACAGCTACTGCCTTCTAATATAAAAATTGGTCACACTAACCATTCAGGATATCATCAGTTTTATTACATATCCATTTTATTGTATATTATGCATGAATACTCAATGATTGTACACAACTTGAAAGAAATACAATATATAATCGTCTCCTCATGCTATAAACACTGCATTCTAGAACCGTATATCTTTCATATATTTATTTCTCTTATATCATTTGCAGTTAACAGAAAGCACTATAAAATTTGTCACCTCGAATCTTTCGCTGTACTTATTAAAATGGTGGTGGTCATTAATGGGACTTCACATTTGATGTGCTATAATGCATACAAATAAGCTCAAATCACCTGAATAAGTTTTTGCCTAAAAGGGCGAGAGTGAATTAATTGTCCTCATAAAGCATATCTTTATCCCAGCATTACAGCTAAGCTAATTTTCTGGCTTTGCTTCCTATCCAGTTTTCTATGAATAGCATGCAAGAATTAAGGTATGTGAACTAATTGAATATAGATAATAATACAGATATTACATAATTTTCCATGTTAAGAAGACAACCAATTGTTTTTCATGCAAGTTTTCCTCATTCAGCATTTACTTGATAATTTTAGAGCAAATGTGTGGTGCAAAAGGGAAAATTTGATTAATATTTATTAACTAATGAAACTCATTTTTGGACATTTTTTCATGAACAAAATTTTGGTACCTCCAATATCTTTGGAAGAGAAAATACACATTACTTCAGCAGTTGTTTACAATTTTATAAAACTAATAAATGTATTTCAGAATTACTTAAATTTCACGAATGTTGCAAATATGAGAGATTAAATATTCTCTTAAGAATGTAATATATAGCTCCCTTTTTTATAAAAAAAATTAACTTTAGTTTTCTACAGTGTTGCTGAAAATAGTGCCAACTATAAAATTGCTAGACAAATGCCATTTCTGTTTGTTGCTGCTATCTGCGCTTGGCTCCAAGCACAGATGACATAAGGTGTCAGTCAAGTTTTTCTGAAATATGGTGATTTTCCAAGCAAGTGACATGAGTAAAATACTAAAATATTCTACTGTGTTGTTAACCATAGGGGTTGGGAGACAATTTTTGAAGAATATGAATAATTATAGAATCAATCTAACATTGAAAAAAAAATTAGAAATAGCACTGTTTGAGATTCATGATTTGGCCACAAACAGTGTGCATTAAACCTATATTTAAAACCATTGGAATTCAATTAAAGAGATGAATATTCATTTAGAAATATTGCGAAAAAAAACTAAAATGATTCCCCCCCATTTTATTTACAGATCAAGCACCTTTTTCAGTGAAGCAATAAACTGAGTACCCATGTCGTAATGATCTAAAAATAAGAACTAGTTTACAGAAAATTGCAAAAGTCTGCAGCTTGCTTCAACACAAATGACAACCGAAAATACAATAAGTAGTTATCAATCTGATATTAATGCTGAACAAATGAACATAGAATTGTGCAGTTTACATAACCTCATTTCCAAAGTGTCAGGAAAAATTAAATGTTCAGCAATTTCTTTTGCCATTTTTGCCTCATATTTATGGGTTACCGTGCAAATTTTTTAACAATTCCAATATCAATAGCTTATATGAAGAGATTTTTTTTAATTAATAAAAATGTTATTGAATTATTACCACACAATGACATCACTGATATTACACCTCGGATAAAAGGCACAAAGATTTCTAATAGGTTGATTATAAACATTAAAAATGCTGTATTTTTAATTTAGGAAATAAAGGTATTATTATGATTTGAAGCATGTGCAATTTAATTTACGCAAGTCGTCAAATTGCACCCATTGTCTTAGGGTTCTTATAATGCTGAAGCCAGACTCTACTGCTATTTTGAGATTCTCAGCATAAAAGGAGAGAGATCAGTGATCAGAATACTTATCAGTAAAAATGATCTTACTAATGTCTTTTAAGATAGCAATAAAACTTACGATATTCTGTTCAATTTTTACATCCATGAAGTTTAAAACAGAACTTTTCACGTAATTATGTTGTTGGATTCCATACTTTTAATGCAAAATTTTTATATTTTTATTTTAACTGTAAATTGTCACATTAAAGAAAGCTACTTTTATAGATACATTAAAATTCTCTATTCCTTACAGATTTGATATCTATTTTCAAAACATAAAGCATGAAAAGAGATATGTACTGCTTATTGGAGAAATAATTCACAATTATTTTTCACTTAAAAGTATAGTATTTTGTCTTTAGTTGCATCAACAATGATGTAATTTTATTAAGTGGCATTTATAATAACATTAAACTGCCCACTTCTCCAGAATTTATAAAAAAATATTTAACACTGACATATAAATTTAAAATATATCCTTGAAGCACTGAATTAATTAAATTCCACTCAGACAAGTTGTTTAAGAAGGGGGAGGATTGCTATTTCTCAATTAAAATAAATCTCTTATTTCTAAAATATTACAAATTTCCATTTTTGTATTCTCTAAATTCGTCACTCAAATTAATTTTTGTCCACTGCAAAATCAGTACACAATAACTAAATTTTGAGCCCAAAACAGTTAATCTTCAAAATTGAGAATTGCACAATAAAAGAGATGACATCTGAAGAAGCTCCCTAATTAATGGTAAACTTGTTTGATTTTATATTAGCACTTTTTCTTTTTTAGTTCTGATAATACTATGAGGATCATCATCATGAAGTACAATTTCATTTTATGCAAAAAGCACTATTCTCAGACTTGAAATGTATCATTCACTGTGATACTTCTCATTTGCATAAAATCTGTATGATACAAACAGCATATACCTACAGAGTGTATATATTTCATATCATAAAAATAAATGATAAGTCAAAATTTTTTGTAAGTTAAATTTAATTTACAAGCAGGATGAAGAAAATTATACACATGTAATTTGTTTTTAAAGAAAGTTAACACGAGCCTTTTTCACAATACCATAAAAATAACTGAAATATGATTACACATTACATTAGCATAATTACTTATTTTCCCTGTTCTTTAATCCCATTCAATACACCATATATCTTTGGGATATTAGCTTGAACTTATAGCTGAAACAATCATTTAAAAAAATTTAAAAAAAAAAAAAAAAAACATGAACACACTGCATAAAAGAATAAAGCTACACTATTTTACAATTTTAATAATAAAACTAGCCTAACTGTTGTAATAAACATTGGATATATATATATTTTACGTCAACAATTATACAACATTTAATAAAAAAATTATGAAACACTGAGGGAAACAATATTTTCTCGAAAAACTACATACCCTCTTCTGTGCTTATATCAGTAAATGAACACAGGATAGTTAAAACATAAATAGTAAATATTCTTCCTAATCTATAACACAAAGATAAACAATAATTATACATCAAACATGCATACTTAAATGGAACACATAATAGCACGAAAAAATCTTTCTAGGACTTTCCGGCAAACGTATTCTTAATTAAGCAGCATAAAATTTTGAAAGAATGCAATTACATCAAACTGTAAATTTAGCTGACAATACACTAATTATGATCTAAAATATAACATATATCATGACTTCAGTCGAAATGATGAAAGCATAAGAATGTAACAATAGATCTCGGAAAAATTTGAAATTTTCACATATTCTCAAAAACAAATGCTATCTGTATTAATTGAAATAATCTTTAATTTTAACTTTCAAAGTAACTTTTTCTCAGGATAAACAAATGCTTACAATAGAAGAAAGCCATTTTAAAATTATTATGGAGTGGAAAAACAAAAATAGTAAATATTTAATTTATTTTGTATTAGGAATAAATATTAAACATAGTTCATTTTTAGTAGCATGTTTTAATTTATCCATTTTGTAAGTATCTTAAATACACATGGAAATTTATTGTTTCATAAATTAAAAAATACTAGCCATTAAATGCAAAATCATAATTTCAAGCATCATTTTAATGCTGGTTACACATACACAGTCAAATTTCAATATACCAAAACTGATGGACCACAAAAAGAAAATTTTGATTAATTGAAAAAAGTTAATTTTACTGCATTCCAAATATTTACATCAATAAAATGTACTTTAATGATTATGTCACTACTTATCACATAAGTGTTTTAATGGTTGTTTAAAATTCTGATTTTTTGAAGAGTTTCTTTACTGAATTATAATTTTTTTATATAAATGTATATGATCTCTCGATTAATACAATTAATCTTTTGTTTATAACATGAATATATTTTCATCAGACTTATAAGTAGTTGTTGCATGTGTACTTTAAATGAATTATTACCTTTATCATGTATTAATAAAAATTCTAATTTTTTAATGAACTAAAATGCCATTTATTTTCAGGAAGACTGAATATAAATAAATGCCCAACTATTACTTATGCATTTAGATACTACTTGTTAAATTATCCAGACTTTTCACAAACATTCATATACAGCCCATAAAAATTCTAGAATTAAACACATTCACATGTAACACAATGTCCTTTCTCATAACTACATTCTACAATAATTTCAAAAACACATTTTCAGGAGTACACAAAACAAAGCTCTTCAAACATTTGACAGAATACATCAACATATCTCAAGAAATGTCATCTGAGAACCCAGTAATATGCCTTTTACTGAATGTAGTAATATATTCAAAAACCAATTTAAATACTATGTGAAAAGCACTATGTTTTAATATTATATTTTGATAACGATTTTAAGCTACATTATTCACTATTCAATATATTTTAGCTAAAAATTTAAAGAAAGACCATGAGTAATATTTCAGAGAACATCACACAAAATGTAATCAATCTAAATTAACAAAGCTAATGTGATTTAGGTATTATTTTGTATTAATAAAACACTTCAATTTAAAATAAACAGGTAAGTTCAGATAGTCATCCAAGAGAGACAGGCTATACACATTTGACGGAAATGAACGATATAGAATGATCTACATTTTGCATATTTTTTATCCCTCTAAGAAAAGGGAATTACACCACTCTCTTAAAACACAGTAAAATTAAAACTGCATTAATTAAAAATATCTCTGCATTACCATAAAAAATAAAATAATAGATATCATAATTTTATACCTATTCATATTGCCCTGTTTCTATTTTTAGAACTAGTTAAATAAGTTTTAATATGATAATGTATGAACAGTATTTATTAGATATCAGTTATTCTAATTAAATACATTAGATCTTGTTTAATTTCCCGTCTTCCCCTATTAAATAATGGAGATATCATATCTTCCCACATTTGGGTTTCATCTCTCAATTTCAGAATTACTTTTGAAATACATTTATTGACAACAGAAATCATTAAAAATAACGAAGACATTTCACATACTAAAATATTCTCAATAAGAATAAATATGAAATTAAAAACTATGACAGTAGTAATAATTTAAGTCCCTGTGTTGAATATTGAACAAAGAATATGTGGGAAAAATCAAAATCTCAAAAGATAAAATTCTTTCAGGGATCCTTTTAACTAGAGATAAACTACCTCTAATAGATAAATAAAAGAATACAATTTTTAAAAAATAAGGAAAAATTCCAGTTGGCTTAGAAATATGTATCTGCTGTATTTGATTTTAAAAAAGCCACAACTTATCTTTGGGTGCACAACAGGCAAAAGTAACATATTAGCAGAAAAATTGCTACTATCCCAATGTTTAAGAAATTATATCAAGAAACAAAAACCAGCTATAAATTATCTGCAGCACATGAACTGATTAATGGGTTTACATCAATATCACTTTTTTATGTACCTTAAAAAGGGGAGAACTACAATACATAATGCATCTTTTATAAACTCATGATATTTCAGGAGTGCCCAGAAATATACAAGCTCTAAATCCCCCCCCCCAAAAGAAAAAAAAATAGCCTTAATGAAAAGAACAAGACAAGGAAGTTTTTTTTTTTTTTTTTTTTTTTTTTTTTTTTTTTTTTTTTTTACAATTACTTAGACATTTAATACCAAAGTTTTCATTTGAAGAGCTTTTCTAATTACAGACAATCTCTTGATTTACAATAAGGAAAAGGACATTATTAAATATATGGTGATTATTTTCTTCTACATCAAAATCTCATTTTTAATATTTTGAATATTCACCTATTACATGAACATAAATTATCCTTAATCAGCACCAAGTGAAATAATTCTATAAATATGAATTATAACAACAGATGAAGAAACATATATCATGACTTCAGTCGAAAGATGTTTACCACATAGACTAGATATAAAATAATAAATATATACAAAGATCAAATGTTAGAGAGACTAAATTGTAAAACATGAAATAAGGAACGACATTGCATTATCACGTACATCAATGGTTTTCAAACTGTGGACCACATAATATTATAAATAACACTTGCCAAATATTTCATAAAAATATGCAGTTTCCAACTCAACACTTGTCTATCAGCAATATATTCACATAAAATTTTGCTTCAAGGTTTAAAGTATAAGCTAAATGCATGATAAAATCAATAGGAAAACATGTTATAAATACATGATAAAATAGCTGTCTCGCTCCTAAAAGAAATAACTAAATATAAAAAAATACTGATTATCGAGGACATTCTGGTGTACATTTTAGAATAGACAAATCTTTCAATCAATATAAAAGGCAAAAATGAAAAAAGTTTATCAAAAAATGATAAAACCAAAATCTTAATGTACAAGCTTATCTTACTATTCAATTACTTAACACATCTTTATAAAAACAAATTAACTAAATGAGAAATATGGACAGTAATATTAAATTAATGCAATATACAATTAGAATTAAAATTTAATTCACATAGAATACAAGAAATGCATATCAATGTGTACAATTTCTATTAAAAACAGGTATCCCCTCACCCCCCCCAAAAAAAACACTCTTAATGCACTGATTTTATGTACATATATGATTTGGATTTTACATCAATGAACTCATATCTTAGTTTATGTTGCAGTAACTTTTCCAAACCTATTCTGGCTGCTATGGTATGAATAAAATGGAAGCAACATACACATAAGAAACGAAATCAGTGTACGTGACAAATATTTATCCAGACCTTTAAAAAAGAACTGTTCTTACTTCTTTGCAATACAGGATGAGCATAAAAATAGTCTCTGATTTCAAGATGTCATATAATTAATAGTTACTGAAATATTTTGATGAAATTTTGTTTAAACTCTTCTTTTAAGAACTGTTGCTTCTGACATGAGTAGCTTGATGGCTATGACATCAAAAATGACACTTACCCCACAGTTAAGAAGTATGGTGCATGGTAAAACTTACCAAAGCAAGCTGTATTGTGATCTGCTTTCATTAAGAAAGCCCGTTGGACAACCTGTTTGAAGGGAAACAACCCGTCAAACCAATGGACATGACAAGTTGAACCCAATGCTCAGCATTCTTGCAAGTGATCCCTAAGACCATTGGATTTAACAAAGTGCAGCCATTACTTTTGGAGGTTCATCAAGGGAAAGATTTATATACTTTCACTATCCACAACCCTGAATAATCTTCAGGATTGCAGCTGTCCATTGCATCGCACCAGAAACACTTCAGCATGTGTGTTTGAAACTAAATGACCATCTTGATGATGCTATACATCAAATGTGGCAATTATAAGCAATATCATCAGAAATTTCTTCAGTCTATGTAACTACTGTAAAAATTTGGGCATGCTTATTGTTTTGATATTAAAAATTATAGCCTTTACATATCAAGGCCTGTTTATGTGTTCAGTCTATAGTTTACCTAATTTAACAAATACAATAAGCAGAAGAGAGGAAATTCCTTTTCATTCTTTCCATTTCATTCAGCAAATCTAATCTACCTGATTCCAAAATATATGATTTAGCAAACTAATACAAATCAAAATGGAAAAACTTCACTATACAGGCCACTATTCAAACTGGGGTTTAGTATAACTGCACACTGGATGTTTTATATGTTATGTAACATTTTTTACTTCAGTAAATTAATCCATTCCTAGTTATACATCTCCTTCACATTTTAATGTTTGAAAATTAATACATAAATTATGTTCCAACTTGTTTATGTTACATCTTCAACTGAGAAAATTAAAACAAAATTTTTCTCATTATTGACATTTTAGCAAATAAATTACCAGAAGTAGGCTTTTAATTCAAAATGAAGTAACTTATTATTGAAAGTACATAATAAATAGTAATTGTACATGCTTATTACACTTTTTTAAATTGACATCTGGAGTTTCTTTTAATAAAATTTGAGGAATTTTTCAATTAAATAGAATATATTTAAAGAACTTGATATACAAATAAAGAATCTTAACATAAAGAATACGTAAAATTAAGCTCCAAATGTTTATTACTGCCTATTATAACAATAAATTATTATTACAAATAGTTTAATCAACTAGGCACAACTTACTTAGCTCTAAGAAATTAAGATCTAAAAGGTTTAACAACTATTATTAAAGCATTTAAAATGGTAGTTTATGCAAGTTATATTGTAATCTCCTATAATGAGTAAATAAAGCACTCGGCATTATGGTTCTAGTTATAACTTCATTAATTACATAAATTAGCATACATTAAAATACAATTTATCTCACACCTCACTATGCCAATATGTCTAATAATGAATGTTTTATAATGTGATTTCATCATGACTGTGGTCGTAATACATTTAATATTGTGAAAATTTCTTCCCCTTTTATCTTTTTAATATTATGTTTAAATGCTAATCTTTCTGCTGAAGTTGGAGAATGAACAATTAAAAAGTCGGCTCGTATTTATTTCAAAAGTCATCACTCTAATGGGGAAAAACCACAAAGTTATCACTAGTTTTTTTTTTTTTTTTATTTGCATAATTGACTGTTGAACACATAAATTCAATTTGCAATGCAATGAAATTTTTATTTTCATTTATTAAATGTCAACGGTACTTTTTTTGCACCTATCAGCCATTTTGTTCATATTTATGCAATTTAATTTTAGACATTGTTAACGTAATTACGATAATTACTTCTCCAGATATTTTCCGTTTTCTTAGTACCACTAATGCTAATCGAATAATGTAGTCTTTAATTATAATATCTTTTATGTGAAAAACATTCATTAATGTCTTCAATTTTGATATTATTGATGAGGAAAAAATTGCTCGTTAATACATACATACTCATTACTAATTACATACAAAAATCAGACAACTTATTACTTAGAGGAATAACAATTTTCACAGCTTTATCTGGATTTCCAGAACAAATCACAGTTTTCATTAAGTTTCTGATTTTTAAAAATACATTCTACAAAGTTTAATTCATATTAAGCACAACTACAACTTTTGATCTAAGTTTACAAAGTTATTAGGAACTTAAATTTCATCGATTAAGCAAATAAACAATTAATTTTAACTGTTTAAATATGTATATATAATTTTTGCATGCAAAAAATTTACTGAAAGAGTTAAATATCAAATAACATTTATGACGATGTTAAAGGTGACAAAATCAGAAAGAAAGCAGACTTTTTGCTCCTCAAGAATTCAAATGACAACTAGCTTTCATAAAAACATTTATTGTTTTCATATAATTATGTACATACAGCTAGCTGGATTTAAAAAGTGACCTGAGTTAATACGCGATGAAAATATTAATTTATTCTTGAAGCTAGTTTTTTACTCGATTAAGCATTTATTTGCTTACAAAGACAAATCAACTCAAGCACACATCCCTAGAACCTACTTTGATACCAATGACAGTAATGAAGTATGATGGGAATGACTTTGATCTACTTTGAAAACTGACTTCAAACAGAATTGCTCTTTCAAGCACTGAAACTGAAAAGACGGCTACGCATTAATACCACAACATCAATTTTTAAACATAATGAAAGTTACTGCAGGGCAAATTAAAACAAATCTGATTAACTATGTTTCAATTACATATGACTTCAAATAAAACAATAACACATCTATATAAAAATTAAAACAAGCTTCTGTTTAAAATATCATTTGTCATAAACACAGCCCTTCAGTTTCCAAAAAGTGACATTTTCAATTCAAGGATGCTCTGTGGAATTTACTTTTTTAAATGCGCGCAATCTTCATCTTTGATGATAATCCAAGATCTCAAAAATTAGTTTTATCCTTGGAAACCAGAGTCTTACTTCAGCCTGTGTTTATTATATGCCAGAACACATTTAAGCTTGATTCCAAAGCACAAATTTGGTAGCTGTGCAGTATCTTGATTTTTAATTTCTAGTTAACAAACAGCAGCTACTTCTCCATCACTTAATTTTTATTCTTTCAAAGTCATCACTTAAATGGTAGCTCACGAATACCTTACCACATATCTTAACAAAATTCAAACTTCAGCCAATATAGTTAAAAACAGTATTTATTAAATAATTACTAACAGTATTAATTAAGAGTATTAAATAATTACTAAGAGAGTACTAAGAGTGCATGTAAATAATTACATGCACAAAAGGCAAGCATTTTGTCCACATAACCATAACCAATAAAAAAAAATTACAATTCTACTCCTACTCTGCTCTTGCTGCACATATTAATAATACTATATATTTATATATGTTTATATATAACTCTATAAGAAAAGTCTTCCTACTGCTTAAAAAAGCACTACCTACTTCACACTATGTAAATATTAACGAACAAGGATAACATCACTCTCTGAAAATATGCAAAATGTCAGAGATCCAATGTTTATATTCACATTATAAAGAATTACCTGGAATGTCAAACTCGTGTGGTCACAGTGCTAATGCTACGTAATAAGCATATTAAAATGACTTCACATTTATTATCATAAAAGTTAAAAAACTGAAAATCAAGTTAAATTTGTAGCAATCAAGCACTGAACTTTAATTAATGACATTCACAGTTTTTGTGGGTTTTTTTTATTATTTAATTCTAGTCTTTCCTCCCCTTATGGTATGAATGAATACGATTGCATTGGTGTTCACAGAAGACCTCAAAATGAATGAAATGTAGCTATGTGATGAAAGAACGGGCTTTGGCAAAAACTTGTTTCCCTCAAAAATCGCCAAACATTTTTATGATGAAATCTGGACGATATTACCGCTTTCTTCGGCAAGTACGTTTGTGTTCTTTGTGCCAGTGAACCTGCTGGCAATCCACACTGCAGTATGATGTATTCCAGCAACAGTGGTAGATAGCTTCAGCTTCACAATTATAACACTGAAAAAATAAAACATTCATTATATTAATTATACATTCAATTAACATGTCAGCTTAAAAAAAAAAAAGGCCAGACTAACTACTATTCAAACTAAATGGGATCAAGGCAGATCTGGGGTGGGGGATTTAGTCTTCGAAGAAAAAGCACTTATTCCGAAGAATTAAATTGTCTAATTCAACTAAGTTTTATTTTCCAATATCATTTTATTTCACCATTAAATTATATTTTTCAACAAAACTAGAAAAAAAATGTGCTTCTTTTTTTTTTTTTTTTTTATGTATATTATTAGGTCATATAAAAAGTCTCCGTGCTTTTTTGGTACATTTTTGAACAAAAGTTTTCTTTACGTGAAAATCAATTTTAATCAACTACATATTGATCCTTATTATCTATGACCTTCGGCCATTTTTCACGTAGCTTCATAATTCCACTGGCATAGAACTTTTATGGTTTATGGTCGAAAAACTTGGCCAAGTGATTTTCAATGGTGCTTCGGTTGGCCAATTTTTACCATCAAAAGAGTTTTGCAGAAACCAAAACAAATGGTAGTCAGATGGTGCAAAGCCTGAATATACATTGGGTGCATCAAAACTTCCCAACCAAGTTCCGTCAATCAAGAGTCACCAAAAATATGTGTAGCTGTGCATTGTCATGATGGAACACAACTCCCTTTTTGTGGGCCAAGTCTGGTCACTCTTCCTGGACTGCTTCGTTCAAACAGTCCACTTTTGTACAGTACAGGGACAAATTGACAGTTTCACCAGGTTGTAGCACCTCATAATGGACAATTCCTTTCCAATCTCGATGTCGAAATTTGAGAAATGGAATCAAGCAAATCAAAGCTGGGTCATTCACTCAGAGCATTCTCACAGTATACTTCACATATTTTTCGGCATGTTTTTGAAGCATTTTTACTTTTATTATAGTAAAAAAGCATTACATACTGTATTTCTTCAGATATTTCACTCATTTTCAAATCAATATAACTTTGGATACAAGCAACAAATTAGAAAACTGTCTTCACAAACAATGAAAGTTGAATGTCACCTTTTAAGCACATGTTTGTTTCAGGTTAGGTTATTTAATTACGGCAAAGCCTCGAGGGCTATCTGCCTAAGGAGAGGGATGCCTTCGTGGAGGACTTTCTAAGGGCAACTGGCTCGTCTACACGTTACACATGGGGAAAACCACGAAAACACCCATGCAGACAGCCCGTTCACGGGATTCGAACCTCAGACCGAACCTACCAGCGTTCAGCGACTTTACCACTCGGCCGCTGGTGGGCCATGCTCGTTTCAGACAATCGGACGAGTGCCGCCGGATATATAGGCATCAATACCATCTAGTGGCAAAAAAAGCATGGAGACTTTTTATATGGCCCAATATTTTGTAGATATAAAATGTTTCAATGAATTTTTTATTTCATTGAACAAGCATATGCCTCACTATTCTTAAGTCACTAAAGTAATATTAATTGCAGATTTCTCATGCCTACATCTTAACAGCTATTTTAACATATAATCACCACCTATGAGCCAATTTAGCATTATTTTTGAGACAGTTGGTATAGGTTTGAGCTCGTGGTAATTTCTTCAAAAGATGAATCACTGCATGTAAGCTCATGATCTTGTCTACTGCAGCCTTAGGAATTTATCAGCTACAAGCTTCACTTATTCCCTTAGTCAGGTACAAGCTGGTTTCTGGTTTTCACTGAAAACCATTACGTAGGAAGTTTTATTAATTAAGAGGCCAGTGACATTCCAAAATTATCGGCTAACTGAATAAAAATGATTTCCATGAAAACTGTGAACAACACATTTACCATCTAAAGAAACACATCAGGGATGGCAGTGAGTGATTCTGCTAAAAAGTAACTAAATTTTCAAAAACAAAAAATTAAACATGCATTAAAATCATCATGCATTAAAAACTGTAAAATCAGGTTGACAGACTGATTCCATGACATATTCATGACTTTTACACATACAGATACCATCCAAATTTTCCTTAAAATGGCATGCATGAATGCAATCCTGACTTCTCAAGAGCTTTACCATAACGTAATAAAATAATTTAAATCAGCAAAACATAAAAATTAACTACTTAATAAATAAAAGGATTCACTGCATCGAAAAATTGAATTCAAGTTGCATGGCAGTAAATTCAATACAGCTTTCACTATGTTAATTTTTAATTACCATATTACAAAGTCTATTAATGAATAAATTATCCTTTAAGTTTATTAGCACGCTAATGTTTCATTAAAATAAAATACCATCAACCAATTTTGCATAATTTAATCCATGACAATAAAAGTTAGCCTCATCTTTTGCAATGGAACTGAGGACAATAAGTAAAATTTATTCTGCATACAGGCTAAGAATGTCTTTCTCATACATACAAAGTTTTAATTTTATATAAAATGTCTTTCATTATCACATTTTAGAAATCCTACTAAATTTAGTCTGCTCACCCATTGTTTTTTCTTTATTTCAGAAACCTCCATTCTATGGCGATCCATTAATTCAGATACTTCCATTTGTTGTGCAGCTCTGAGTTGTTCTTCAGATTTCCTTTTGGCTTCACCCAATTCAAGTTGAGCTTTTTCCAAAGCTGCAGCCACAACCCTTTGTTTCTCTTCTTCAAAATCTTGCCTTAGCTAAATAAAAGCATCCAAGATAATTATGCTAGGAATAAATCAAATATTATGAATACTCAGCTATTAACATACAGAAAGTTAAAAAGTTACATTTATTTGCAACATTTAATATTGATTACAGCATTAAAAAAAAAAAAAAAAACTCTTCCTTCATTTGCTAGGTACTTTCTTGAGCATATAAGAATTTCTTGGTATACATGAATTTTGCCTTCAAATGCATTACAATCAAACAATTACCAAATGCAAAATAATCAATTAATTAAGTGGACAGATGGAATAGCAACAAAAATGCTTACAGTTGAAAAAAACTTGAAAACACTGTAATTATAATATGACTGCTTGTTGAGAAATTGCTCTAGATTGCATGAAGAAGCATGTGTCACATCAAACTGCTACTGAAATACTGAAACTTTATGAGATGGAAGTTTGTTAAAAACAAGGGTTTGGTATCAAATTGCTATAAAATACTATAATATTGTCGATATTACACCAAATGACCTAAAGACTAAAATTAGGACTAATTAGGAAAATTCAATACATTCTGCATCCAGCTCATAAGAGTATTCTTTTCTGGTGGTTTTTGTCATTTAAATCTTATGCCATGATGAAGAATTAAAAAAGAAAAAAAAACTGAAAATTTCACATTTTTAACATAAAATCAATCAATATATAATACAGTACAAAGTCTGTAATCCGGACGTCCATTATCTGGAATGATCTATAATCCGGACCTCAAAGCCACAAACTTACGCATGCGAATAAAGCACTTACCCATGAGCGTTTAATGCGTGCGTCCGCTACGCATGCGCATAAAGCGTTTACCCATGCGCGCTTCCGATAGAAAGTGACAGAGAGGTTATTGAAAACGAAAAAATTTCGATTGACAAGTTAGTCTGTATTCTCGACACAGCAATTACAGGACTTGAACAGTGGAACTTTGTAACTGAACAAGAAATTATGTCTGTTTATAGAAATAAAGAAAAAGTATTAGCACAAAAAACGAAGCAACTTATAAAACTTACATTGAAAGAAATGTTTAAAAAGGTAAACAAATAAAATATTAAGCTTCTTTTTTTGTAAATTTTGATACCATTTAGATCATAATTGCTCTTTATTTCATGCATTATGGTTTCATATTTTTAATTGTATAATTTCTGCATGCCATCTTACCAGATTTAAATTGATGATCTATAATCCGGAAAAACTTCTAATCCGGAATCGCCAAAGTACCAACGAGTCCGGATTACGGACTTTGTACTGTAACTACTGAATTTATTAAAATATTTTATAGGCTGAAATATATGATTGAACTGATGATTTTGAACATACGACTTTGCGATCACACTACTGCAGTTGCATATTGATGTTAAAGTAGGCAATAAACAACTTTAAATAATGTAAAGTTTAAAAATTCACAAAGCAAACTGAAAGTATTACCCAGTTCTTTGATTAGCTTTCATAAAAAGATAACAATTTATTCTATACATATATTATACAATAATTAAAATTACAAATGTCTGTTGTAATGGTTCTGTAAAGAGTTAAAAGAACAAAAATAAATAAGCCCATTTGCCTAGGAATAAAATGAAATAAAAAAAAATAAAGTAAATTGTAAAAGTCTGAAGATATTTACTTTTTAAGACTATCTTTTGATTCATTTCATGCCCTAACATATAATTAAATATAACATCTGAAAGAATGGCATTTAAATTGTAGAGAAAGTTAAGCTTTACAACAGATCTTTCATAAATTTGCAACAAAATTAAAATCTGAACATATTACAGAGAGTTCAAAGATAACTCACTCGCTCAGCTAATTCTCTAAGTGACCTTTCTTTTTCTTCTTTCTGTTCAGCTTCAAGGCGCTCTTTAAATTCCTTGAACATTTTACTGTATTTCTGTTCACAATCACATGATGGTGGAGTTTCCTTCTCTTCCACTTTTGCTGGCTTGGGTGGTATAAGAGCTGCTAAAAGCTTCAAAATAAAAGAGAACCATTACAACAATTTAACAATACTAAATAAAATGCAATGTGAATATATAGCTAATGAAATGAAAAATACACATAGGGATTTCATCTATTTCTTTATTTTAAAATGAATAAAATAAAAGAAATACGATTCTTTCTACTGTTTAAAAATGTTGTAACAAAGATATATAAATTTATTACTTGTATTAAGATATTTACTTTACCCTGTATAGGAAAATAAAAAAAATTATTTCAAAGCCCCTGTTCAAATTATTTTAAAAGATAAAAAATTAGGGGGAAAGAAAATACAGAACAATAGGCAGTGATAGGCAATCCTCGGCTAGATGAAATTTTGGAACTTTAATCAGCTGAAATGAAAAAAATTTCCACTTGAAGACAAACTTTGATGTGTTTTCTTTTCTTATTGACAACATTACCCAGCGTTCATAGCCACATTTTAGTTAAAAAAATAAGCACCTGTCTAATTACATTATACACAACTGCATAACCTTAAAAGAAAAACCTTCCTAGTACGAAGTAAAGGAAGTATTGTATACACTTATGAGATTCAATAGTTTATCTACTAATATATTATTTAACACATACATATCTATGAGAGGAAAACTAATGAAAATTCAACTGTTTTTCTTATGCTCCAAAGTGAAAAATACCAATAAAATACTGAATTAAATTCTACTCACTTTTTTATGAGTTTGTGTTGAAACAGTAACTTTTGCACTTGGTGATGATTCTTGGCAGGAAGATGAAACAACATTATGATCTTCAGGTGTCGGGGCATCCTAAAATAAAGAATATAAACAAGAGAAAGGAAATATTTCACATATAACTTCAAAACACTTTTTTAACTTAAATAACAATCATGAGAAAGACATTTCAGGAAATATTCTAAAATTTTCTTTTTAATCAAAAATTTTTACATTTTCCCTAATTAAAAGGCATTTTAACTCAGATTCATTTCAATTTGAAACACTAAAAGTATACTTAAAAAAAAAATTTATGTTTTTGGAGTTCTTGCTGCTAATGCTGCTTACCTAAATTTACCAGTGAGATTTGTAACTAAATGAAATAACTAAATCCAGTTTAATCACTAATGGCAAATATCACATCCATCCTTCTCCCCTATCTTTATTTATTAATATGTCAATAAAACAGAAAATAACTATTTATTAATGTATACAGTACATAAATAAAAATAATAACTCAGCTTGTCATTATTTTTTTTCAATTCATTTTAATTTCATTTCAAATTCAAACTGTCCCACAAAAACTGGAGTTAGATCGGAGTCAACCTGTTTTTAGCGACTTCAGCTCCAACTCCTTTTACCCTAAAATCTGCCTGACTCTGATTCGGACTTCACAGCTCAATATATTTAATCATAACTATTCTGTAAAGAATTATACTATGGTGGGAAAAAAATAATTTTTAAGATAAACATGAAATGGATACTTTTTCATTAAGGGCAAATTATTAAGGATTCATCCATTCTTATACATACATGTTATGGTTTGTCAAACACTTTTTCTTTTGAATAAATAAGAATGAAGCAACACAAACAGATAAGAAAATTTCACTGAATCACATAAGTACCGTTTCATTCTATGACTTTCTGCCAACCCTCTCACAGCTAGAAAATTCTTTTTTAATAAAATTCATCAAGTTTATTTGCAAAGAAGTTACTGAGGTGCTGCTTCATAGTCTCCAAAGAAGTGATCTCCAGGCCATTCAGAGATAAAAATCTGAGGAGGTAAGGTCTGGTGTACATGTGAGGATGACACAAAAAACAGCCCAGCCATGCTCAATAAGTCTTGTCCGACATTCATCAAAATGAGGGGCCAAACATTGCATAACAGAAGACAACACCTTGACAAAGCAGTCAGCTCTGGATTTTTGCTTTTAAAATTGCTTCCATAATCTTTTGTAACATTATTGTATAATATCCACTTCTCCTCTCCAGTAATGAGCCACAGCCTCCCCCCCCCCAAAAAAAAACTCTTATTTTTTTGCAGTGAAGAATTACATCTCAAAATGTGAGCAAGCCTATTCTGGTCTGTTCAAGTATGGGTACCACACATCATAGTGGATTACAAATCCAATTTTCTTCAAATGATCATGACTGCACTTTTTGGAATATTCAGTCTCGGATAGTTTCTGAACTGTGTAGAGACATCAGGTATTTTTTGAAAGCAGGAGAGATGAAAAATGAGTAATGCTCTTGCCGGGACTTGAATACACACTGAATGCTAGAAGGCATGCTACAAAGGCATCCACAAAGGCATGCTAGAAGGTGGGAGAAATACCTTATATACTTCCCCTTTCAAAGGGCAACTGGGAATTAGGGGACCTAGATGCCAAATCTTGGTGGTGGAGAATCATCGCCCATCACCTTTTTTAGTTCGTGCCCCACTGTAAAGACATTAGGTTATTTCGAAGCAAGAGAAGTGAAAAATAAGCAATGCCCTCGCTGGGACTCGAACCTCAGACCTCTCGAATATGCGCCAAGTGTGCTGGCCACTAAATCACGAAGGCATGCTAAGAAGGCAGGAAAAATACCTTATATACCCCTCCATTTTAAAGGGTGACTGGGGATAAGGGGACCCAATCTCCAAATCCTAGTGGTGGAGAATCATCATCTACCACCTTTTTTAGTTCGGGCCACACCGTAGAGACATTAAGTTATTTCGAAGCAGGAGAAGTGAAAAATGAGCAATGCCCTTGCTGGGACTCGAACCTCAGACCTCTCGAATATGGGCCAAGTGCGCTGGCCATTACATCACGAAGGCATGCTACGAAGGTGGGAAAAATACCTTATATACCCCCTTTTAAAGGGCGACTGGGGATAAGGGAACCCAATTCTCCAAATCCTGGTGGTGGAGAATCATCATCCACAACCTTTTTTTAGTTCGAGCCCCACTGTAGAACCATAAGGTTATTTCACACAGCAGTAGATGAGAAATTATTAATGCCCTCACCGGGACTTGAACCTCCCGAATACACGCCAAGAGCAATAGCCACCACAACACGAAGACGTTCTAAGAAGATGGTAAAAATACATTGTAACTGCATTATGTGGATTTTCAGAGATAATTTTTAATAGGTTCTTGTTTATAGAAAGGATGGCTATCTTGAGTGAGCATCCTTTTCCAGGCTGAAATTTACAAGCTTGAACTTCTTGAACCACCTCGGAGCTGTGTCCATATACAGCACAAATTATACAAGCAATCTGACTGCATGTTTTCCTTTTTCAAAATATGAGAGCATTATATGAAGAAAATTAATTTTGGGTTCTCCATTCTCAAAACTGCACTGAAATAAAAATTAACCCATAATACAAGCTAGAATATGCAACATGACAGAAAAGACCGTATTTACAGATCTACTTCAAGGTCACTTCTTATCAACACTAACAAAATAATTATAAAAAAAATGTGCTTGGATTTGGGAAACTGGGAAACTTTCCAATGACTCAATACTAATTGGATGACCCACTAATAATAGAAGAGACATATTCCCCTCCCCTATCATTTTTTTTTTAACATTCCAAAATTTACTGGGAGGGAAAAAAAAAAAACTGTTCAGCCTTTTGGAAATTGGTACCGAATTTTTTGTCAATAGTTATTTTCTGGTCATAATTTATTAATAAAAAGCTAACACTGATCAATAAAATTTTCAAGGCTTTTGAATTTAAAATGAAGGTTATAAATCTTATTTTAATTATAAACTGCATTTTGATTGAATAGCCCCCAAAACCATCTGAATAATTCTGCTGCATAAAATGCATTAAAAAGGGTGTTTTGCTTGCAATCAATATAATAATAAAGAAAATAAATTATAAATAATTCAAGCTGAAACTAAGCAAACTTCTTTTTTCATGCAGTGTATATTAGCTATATCTGTATTCATCCTCTGCATTTGTTCATTTTAATTTGATTAATCCCTTTCATCTAACACATAGAATTTTGAATTCAGAATGTTATTGTACAACAGCATGCATCTCTTCCAAATTTCAAGTAAAATTAAATGCTGTAAAAATGTACTTCTGTATACTTAATACATGCTACTGTTTTCAAAAATGAAGTTCTGACTTCTTGAAAACAGCAGAAAGTAGCAACTATATCTGAAACTGTAGTGCCTGAAAACCTGAAAAGCTACAAAACTAGAGATAATGAAGCATTTTATTCTGATTTTATTTTGCATATTTATCAAAAGAAAAATAACTTTCTAGCGTGAAATTTTACACTGACTCCAATTTTCAGACATAACTCCAAACTTTCTTAATTCAAAAATTGCATTAAAAAATGTGAATTATATGAAATGCTGTGTTTTATCTCACTGGTCAGTAGTATCAGATCAAGTCTGCAAATTTTACTGTGCAAAGAACGCAGGATTGACTCTGATGGCATGGGCCTTGGTCGCCTTACAGATGTCCAGTTTCATCTCAGTTTTGAGGGAGAATCTCCCAAGGGACAGATATTCAACTTTTTTTTTTTTTTTTTTTCCGAATCATCAAACGACATAAAGGGATTTCTGGCTCCTGCATTTTAAGTATCCCCATATTGCAAAGACAGTATACATTTACAATTGTCCAAGCCTTCTCTGGGATTAAAACTTAGGTCCACAACACACAAGTCAGCTACTATACTGATCAAATCTGAGTTATACAAAACAGAGAACTATACTAAAAGCTTACTTTAAAACGAGCTGTTTTAGGAGATGAAGATGAAGGACATTCATCCTGGGATGAGTTCCCATCTTCAACCTCATTTTCAGACATCTCTTCACTAGACACTGATCCTTTTCGTGACCTTGATCTTGACCCTGAGTTAGAGCGAGATGAACTTGCTGATGGAGGACGTGAAGGATTGTTCTTAGCTTTCTTTGGAGATAAATCTTTATTTGGTGTTTGACCTAAAAGTTGCTGATGGCGCTTCAGTTCTTCAAGAGCTTTATTCAAGCCAGCAGTTCTTTTTAATTGTAACTGTTGTAAGCTTGTTGTTATGGGCTTGATATGATCTTTTTCAATATTTGCTCTAAAATATTTTTAAAAAATGAATATTTAAACCCAAACATGGAGAAAACTTATAAACATAAATAAAAGGTATCAGAATACAAGAAAGGTTACAAATAAAAAATAAGGACTCGTGGAAAATTATGAAGACAGAAACTAGTAAGTACTTTTACGCCTCACTTGATAACCATGATTAAAATTTAACTATGAAAAGTAGTTTAATTTAATGCTGATGTACTAAAAGAAGTGTAATTTGAGTTTAAAGTTTTTAACTTTTCCTGATTCCTGGAAATCTCCTGGGACAATATGTCCCATTCATCTAGGATATTATCCTTTTTCAAAAAACACAACTAAAATTTGTGATAATATATAATGTGAATATTACAAAACGTAAAATCTGCCAAAGGCTCTAGTTTATATACAACAAAACTTTCATATATGTTTCATAAACATAATATATCAGCATGTAGTAATTTGACCACTGATGGGACATGTTAACCCACAGTTCAATACAATTGGAACAAAAAGAATTTATTCAAAATTTCTTAAATCTGACATTAAAAAAGTTAAATTACTACTTAATAACAACAATGAGAACTATTTCGTGTTAAGCGTGCCTTAGATATAATTGCGTTTACTGCAAAATTTAAAAAAAAAAAAAATAGACAAACCAACATTTAAATAATCGGCATGCTCAATTGCAATTAAAAAGTGTTGCCAGATTTCTTTAGTCATATATTTGTTCCCCAATTCCTTAAAAACACTGCAAACATAAAAAAACATTTAAAAACAGGCTTTATTTACCCAATAGGCCATGAAATCTAATCTCTGGGACATATGTGCCCATTAGGACTAAAAGGGTTAAGTAAGTAAACATACCATGCAGCATTGCAGCATAGTTAAAAATACAATCTCCCTCTCTTTTAAACCTGAGACTTATTTGCATAATACACCCTTTAACATTTTTAGGAACAAATAATTGAGAAACCCATGTTCTTGCTGTAATCAAACCTGTATCTTCAAATGACAAAATTTGAACCATTACATCATAAGTTAATATGAGAAGAATGCTCTTTAATTCCTTATATTCAACAGCATTTCAAGAGTTACTAGAGGCAGAAGCAATCCTTAAACTCATTTGGGCAAAAATGCACTTTAGTATTGATCCATTATCAATAATTTTCTTTAATTACAGCATCATTGCAAAGAGATTATGTTGGTGTGGAAGGAGAACATTTTACTGTGCCCTACCCATGAACTGAACCTAGGATTCCAGGCCTGGACTGAAATGCCTGACCATTATTCTATATAGGATAAAAAAAGTCTAATTTTTTACACGGTTAACATTTGGATTTAAATAAAATTCTATGCCTTATCCTGAAAGACCTAACATCAACATTCCTTGAACTGCAATTTTTCTATTGAAATAATGCATATATACAGTCCAGTTTTACTTGCTTTTCTATTTGAAATTGTCATGTTTCTCTTCTACATATTATGTTAATTTAACTTCATTATTTAATGAGAAGACAGCTTTTTATAAACAATTAGATAAAAAATTAGAATGTATTACTCGATCAAACACCTCCCTAGTAGCATATAACATTACATTTTAAGACATTAGTAACATTTAAAACAGAATAAAGTTTTGCACATAATTTATTTCTCACACAAACTTCCATTTTTAAACAACTTTTCTAAACATTTTAAATGTCAACAATTATTTTGAATATTAATAATAATACCCAAGCATTTTCTAAGCAGCATTTCTTCATAATTTTCAAATTTAATGATTTATTAGGACTGATAGTCTCAAATAAATAGTCTAAAATAATTTCAAATATTTAAAGTAAAATTTAATCCCCTCTTAGAGCAGCCTGACTATTAATAAGTTATCACATGCACATCAAATAAAGAAATGTGTGGCAACAATTAAATTTATCGCATAGTAACGAGTTGCCATAGTGAAAATAAGCTAATAAGCTCAGAACAACAATTATTATATTTTTGACTTTTGAGTTTGTATCATCATGATAAGTTTCTTTCCTCTACATAGATATTTTTAACTGGTAACTAACTAACTAAATACATATATACCAATGGAGTCATAATTTGAATACTCATCTCTGCTTCCCAAATTGCTTGACCCAGATTTTTTTAACACGTCATGTTAAAATGATGACCAACAGCAAAATAGATACCATTTAACAACTTAGAGGATCCCCATTTCTTAAAAAAGTAAGATCTATAATTTATCTTACAATTTTTAACAGCTCAACTTTTCATTGTTTTATATTTAATTCTGTTCGGTAAGTTTAATTTTTTTTTCCAATTAAATCCTGCATAATCACTCAATAGTGATATAAAGAACTGGTGCAAAAATGTAAAATTCATCGGCACAATGAAAGTCCTCTTGGTATGTTGCTACCTGATGTTAAATTCAGTCATATACATATAGATATAATCGGCCTACTTCCACCATCAAAAGACTACAGATATATTGTAACTTGTATATATAGATTCACTAGGTAGCCAAAAGCTTTTCAAATACCTAACCAAATTGCTGAAACTGTGGCTGAGACTTTTACTCTGGATGGATTGCTACATTTGGAGTACCTGATATCATAACGACTGATCGTGGTACCAACTTCGAAAGTGAATTGTTTAGATCATTCACGGAATTCACAAAACAAGAACTACTGCCTTTCATCCAATTTGCAACGGTATTGTAGAAAGCATGCATCGACAACTAAAAGCATCCACTAAATGTCGTGCAACAGTTAGATGGAGTGAAGTGTTACAAATGGTTTTGCTTGGAATGAGGTCATGCATTAAAGAAGATATTGAATCTTCACCAGCTGAAATGGCATATAGAACTTGCTTGAAACTTCCAGGAGAATTTTTTTGCAATTCTTTTTCGGTGCTACTTTGGTAGACGGTTGCACGGATTTTGGCGATTTCTTGGCGATTTTCCTTTGGCGAGTAATACAACTTATAGTAAACCCATTGCTGGATAAGTTATTTATGGTAACCGATACTTTGTTGTCATTTTATTTTAAAAATAATGCGTTTTATTGTGCATAAATTCCGTGTTTAAAATATTATTTATGGCTTTTAAATATTAAAAATCAATTTAATTTTGAATTTTTATTTGAAATAAAAATTTTATTGTTTGTCATATTTTATGAAATTTTATGTTGTGGATGATGTAATCAATGACGTCACCTTACTTTAAAAGTAATTCGTTTTAATATGTATAAATTTAATCTAATGTTTTAAACATTATTTATGGCTGTTAAATATTAAAATACAATTTAATTTTGCAGTTTTTAAAAAAATGATTTTATTATGTATGAATTTTTAAATAATTTTAATTCTAGCCGTGATGTAATAAGCTCTCTGATTGGTTATAGAATATTTGTGCATTAACGAGCTGTAATCAGCTCCCTGATTGGTTACTGACAATTTGTGCATTTCCGCACCATTTTAAAATTTAATTCATATCTTCGAATTCCTTCAAAGATGTTATCTAAATTATGATTCTGATTTTTTTTGTGGTACTTATCAATAAACAACAGGTTAATTACTCAAAAAAATGTAATTCAAAAAAATGTAATGTTTTTCAAGATGGCTGACGTTTGTAAAAACCGCGCCAACAATTGCGCTAAAGTAAATCGCCAAAAATCTGTGCAACCGTCTACCAAAGTAGCACCTCTTTTTCAAATGTGGTTCCTGCAAAAGTGTTGATAATCTTCGTCAACAGATGCGACTTATTCGAGCATCTTCTGCTTCATGGCACTCTTCGAGCAACATGTTCATTCATGGTGATTTACTTACAAGCTCGCATGTCTTCCTTAGACAAGACACTGTGCAAAAACCTTTAGAGCAACCATACCAGGAACCATTCAAAGTATTAGCTAGGACTGAAAATTTTTTAACAATCGATATAAATGGCAATAAATCTACAGTATCTGTAGATCGCTTAATGCCTGCATATACACTAGTAGACTCTCGAGAAGAAAATCATGTATGTAAGAACAAAGAGTCTGAACTTGATCGTACGGTAAACTATATGTTCCCAACTTTCACTAAGTCTGGAAGACGTGTAAAAATTGTTTAACCATACCAAGCTTCTTAGATCGTCCTCTGAACTGGAAGGGGACCACTGTGACAACAATTAAATTTATCACAGAGTAACGAGTTGCCATAGTGACGATAAGCTCATAAGCTCAGAAGAACAATTATTATATTTTTCACTTTTGAGTCTGTATCATCATAATAAGTTTCTTTCCAGTACTTATATATTTTTAACTGGTAACTACATAAATAAATAAATATTTAAATACCAATGGAGTTATAATTTGAATACTTATCTCTGCCTTTCAAAAATGTAACTTATATGAAAGACATATGCATAAACAAGTGGATGAAAATGTTGGTATTTTAGCATAAGTTAACCTATGCAAAAGAATTTTTAAAGCTAAGGAATGTAACTGATGCTGCTACATTTGTAGAGTGAAGAAGAGTATTTTTAACTTAAAGCCATACCAGCATACAGGTCAATACTTACTTATGCTTTTAGTATACTGAAAAGTAATTTTATAATTCATTTAAAGATCAACAAAATTAATATGCAGTTACCTTTGATGATAACCTCCAAAAAATCTAACATCATGCACACCATTGTTTATACGTATTACTTTAGCTGGCCAGTAAGGATATCCTTTCTGTTTTGCATAAACTAGTTCATGAGGTGGGTCCTAAGCGCAAAAAAAGAAGGCAATCTATTATTATTATTAAACAAAGTCTGATGTGTACACCACATGATTTCCTTGTACAGAATATTAAATTATAAACACTTTTCCTGCATTTCATTTAAACTTATTTTTTTGAATTTCATTAGAAATATATTTTTCATTCAATTAATTCTGTTCTCACTTCATGCCAAGGCAAAAATATATAAAACCTCAAAATATCTTTATTAAAAAATATAGAAATATATAAAACACCAAATAAAGTCAGAACAATTAAAAAGAATTTTTTTTTTACAATTAGAAATAAGAGTGTCTACGCAAAAACAAGCAATTCCGCTAGCGGGCAAGAAGGCAGATTTTTTGGTGCACAAAACTGAAAGTGTACTTTTGGTCCCACTTCGCAAGAAGACACTAAATGTGCAGGAACTATTCATTATCATTATTATATCACTATTCTGCTTAGTTTCAAATGCAAGCAAATATGACAGCTATGTCAAAAAAATTAGACTTAGCTGCACTTAAACAACTTTTAAACTGTTAATAATTCTACAACTATTGCGTTAGGATTAATTAAAGGCACAAAACAATTTCTATGCAAAAACAAGCAATTCAGCTAGAAGGCAGATTTTTCAGTGCACAAAACTAAAAATTTCCTTTTGTGAATAACTTAATTCACCATGCTGCTAAGTTTCAAATGTAAACAAATATGGCTACTATAGTAAAAAAAAAAAAAAAAAAAAAAAAAAAAAAAAAAAAAAAAAAAAATTAGGCTTAGCCACATTTAAACAACTTTTAATTTGCTGATAATTCTACAACTACTGCATTCAGATTAACTAAAGGCCTAAAAACCTTAGCTGGAAGATAAGAACAACATAATTCAAATTTTTTAAGCAAAAAATGCACAATTTATCAACATACAAGAACAAAAAAAACTGAGCTCACTGAGCTGAGTCACAGAGTGGTTCTTTCTATATACACTTTGCCAATTTCAACCAAAAAAGGGAGGTGCACAATGACATGTTATAGCAGTCCTATATAAAAAATTTCAATGTTCTGAGACTAGTTTTTAAGTTATGCAAGAGACATACATACAGATGCCATGAAAAAAAAAATCTCTTCTGAATTCATTTAAATCAGTTTTAAAATTCATTTGGGGGGGAAGAACCCTTTATTCTGTCCTTATGCACAGATGTCGCACAAAACTATCACTAAATTGCATCCGATAGTGGTCAAAACGGATACTTTTGTGGAAATATGACACCAAAATTTTTCAAGATTACAATATTTCCGTTACTTCATATAGGGGAGTAAAGAACTGAGCCGAGTAACTGAGTGAGCATGTATAAATACACACACACACACATATATATAATTATAAAGTAATTCTTTTGAAAACAAAACACAAACATGCCTAGTTATTTTCGTGCATTAGGCTGCAGAAAAATTATCATTAAAGACATAAAGTAAGAAATTTAGAACTAATATCTCACAAAGACCAGAAATTGAAATTCATATTTAACACATTTAAAATAATCATAGAAATGCAAGAAAAAATTTAAAAAATTTAAAACCAAAGCATTTCAAACAAGCAAAACCCCTCTTTAAAAATTATGAAATTAAAAGAAAAATGAACAAAAACAGAAGAGGAATTCAATCAATCTCAATTTCACTTTATTAGGGACGGAGAACCTTGAAATTAACTGAAATCTCTCTTCTACAAAAATCCTTGCTATTCTGTATCCAGAATTAGCCGATGAACCATTTTAACGTATTTAAATTATAATTATAACAGTTCATCTGAAAATTCTGGCCCTTCCTAAAGCAAGGGGAGGAAATTTTAATTTATAAACATTAGAATAATCTTAAATAAAGAGAATTCTATCCCTTTAAAAGAACTGAAAATGAAAGTGAAAAACGAAAGTTAAAAAATGAAAATTCAGTGAAAACGTTTTAAAATTTAAATGTAAATCTTTAAACAGAAAATCCGATGAACAAAGATTTAGTTAAAAAAACTATTTACAACATACAAAACAAAATTAAGAACTCCCTTTACTCTCATTAAATTCTAGTTTAAATTTAATAGGTGATACAGAATGATATGTACATTTTTGCCATCTTGGTCTCTTTGACGAAACTAAAAAACTTTGGCAAGAATAATCGCTCAAAACGCTAAAATCTTGTACATAAATGTAATTTTGAAACCAAAAGAAAAACGTTTAAGGAGAATTTTAATTTTATTTCCTAGTCAAAAAAACAGAAAGCATACTAATTGAATAAAATTAAAGTAATAAGTCTTGTAAAATGCAAAGGGAAATGAATAAAATTATTTAGTGTAAAACCTGATAAAATTTAGAAAATCTTTAAAAGAATTTTTTTCTTTTAAAAGTATTGAAAACGAAAGTGAAAAAACAAAATACTCAGGAAATAGTTTCTTAAATTAACCTTTAAACAGATAATCTAATGAATTAAGATGTAGTTGAAAAACCTATTTATAACACACAGAAAGTAATCATGAACTTCCATCACTCTCATTAGACTTTAGTTTAAATTTTAGAGGTGTTACGTAATGATAGATACAGGTTTGCCATCTTGGCTTCATTGGCGAAACTAAAAAACCTTGGCAAGAAATTAATCGCTCCAAAGGCTAAAATCTTGTACGTAAATATAAGTTTGAAATCAAAAGAAAATTTCTGAGGCTACTTGTTTTTGATGCTAGATTCATTCGTACATGCGTACAGACATTGCAAAAAAAGTCTCTTCTGAATTCATTTTAAATCCTTTTTGCAACCAGTTTTTTTTTTTTTTTTTTTTTTTTTTTTTGGGTGGGAAGTTGTTTATTCTGTTCTGATGTACAGATGTCACGCAAAAACATCATTTAATTGCATTTGATAGCAGTGAAAATGGATATTTTCGTCGAAATACGATACAAGAAAATTTTTGCAATTACAATACTCCCTTTACCTTGTACAAGGAAGTAAAAATAATCTATTATTATTTTTTTAAAAAACAATACAGTGTATAACAAAGAGAAAACTAAAACTTTTTAAAATGTTGGCAACCATAAATTTTAAAATAAGTAAAAAATAATCTTCTGTTTCATTAGTCCTTTAATAATAATTCCTAATGCACTAATTAATACTGAAAAGAATATTGCATTCCAAAAGATTAAAAGCAAATCTCATCCTTCAGAAGTAAATTAGCAATGTTTTGCCTTCTAAATTGCAGAGCCTTTTCATTCTTGAAAGGAGTACTTAGCTAATTTTTACTTTTCAAGTTGTTTGCAATTTCTGAACTAAGGTAAAATAAATTTTAATGTAGTCTTAAGTACTTCCAAGTTTAATTCCTGGATTTAAATTACCTGGTTTGCAGCAATATTTTTTTAATGTAGTCTTAAGTACTTCCAAGTTTAATTCCTGGATTTAAATTACCTGGTTTGCAGCAATATTTTTTTAATTTTTGAATATTTATAATTTTTCAATAAATAAATATCCAAATTCAAAAAATCATATTTATAATCAGAAAAATAAAGGATAACTTTGCATTAAGTGTAATTTAAAAAATTAAACAGATATATGAAAATTTATTACAAATAATTAATAAACAGTAAAGTTGAAGTTACTATCAATATCTATTAACTAGAATGTTTTCTCATAAACAAAGACACGATCAATGTGTTTTGGATTCCGAACTTTTTCGAGTGCAACGATGAATGACCCATCTTTAAAAACTCTAAATGACTCTAAATGAATGACCCATCTTTAAAAACATGCTGGCAAAATGCTAAGAACAGAAGTAATAACTTTTTGTATCATAGAGTTTTAGGAGAAAGAGTTCACCAGTTAGTCATTTCTAAAGAAAGAAGAAAACAAATTTTGGACTTAGCTCATTCTAGCTTATGGGGAAGTCACCTGCGAACCAAGAAGACAGCCGAACGTTTGAGATATTCCTTCTATTGGCCTGAAATCAAGAAAGATGTAAATGAATATTGCAATACTTGTACTTATTGTCAACTTCAAGCGAAAAAGCGTCCCTTTGATGAAGTTCCGATTACGCCAGTAACACGTCCTAAAGAACCATTCCAGGTAATTAATGTGGATATCCTAGGATTTGTAGAGCGAAGCTGTAGAGGTTACAAATATATTCTGTGTGCTGTTGATCAATGTACAAGGTGGCCCAAAGCGGTGCCATTGAAGAATTTGAATGCCAAAGCAACATGCAATGCATTGTTGCAAATCTTTTCACGCACAGGAATCCCTCAGATTGTTGCTTCAGATCAAGGAACTAATTTTATTGCTTCGTTGACTCAAGAGTTTTTGAAAAGGATTGGATCGTCACCCCAAAGTTCTTGACTCCTTATCATCCAAGTTCAAATGGCCTTGTAGAAAGATTTAATGCTGTTTTAAAGGGAATGATACGAGGGCAATCCCCCCCAAAAAAAAGGTCTCCTATTTTTTGGGGATGTACAGAAAGTTTTAATACGGTTGTTGGCAACACTGTTGTGAGTGGTGCCTTCTCCGCTACCACATAAGCACGCAGGCGCTTCGCTAGGATGCTCAGTCTTCACTTGGCAGCCATTCGAAATGGAGCTCCCGATAAACGTTGCCGCCAAGTGCGAACAGTTATTCGATTTTTGAACACAAAAGGCGTTAAACCGGTTGAAATTCACCGCCTATTGACGGAAGTGTATGGACAGTCGTGCATGGATGTCAAAAACATTCGCAAGTGGTGTAGAGAGTTTACAGCCGGTCGTACTGAAATTCATGACGAAGAAAGGAACGGGAGGCTGTCAATTGCCGATGAGACAATTGCGAAAGTTGAGGAACTCATGCGTAAAGATCGGAGAATTGCTCTGGATGTTCTCTGCATTTTGGTTCCTGAGGTTTCCAGAAGCACCATCCACAGGATTTTAACGGAAAAGTTGCAATATTGGAAGGTGTGTGCAAGATGGGTGCCGCGTATGCTGACAGAAGACCACAAACGGCAACAGGTTGATTCTTCCCGCGAATTTCTTCGCCGCTATGGAGACAAAAAGGACAACTTCTTGGACTCGATTGATGCTCCTGAAGAGCATGGCGGCAAGCTGGTATGACATGGGCATTGTAAAACTGCCACAGCGTCTACAAAGATGCATCGACCGAAATGGCGATTGTGTTGAAAAATAAAGCATTCTTCAATCTTTAAAGTGATGTAGCAATTATAGAAAATAAACGGTTCTTTGTATATCTAAAAATATAGGAGACTCTTTTTTTGGGATTGCCCTCGTACATCATACCATTAGGGAACATTCCAAAGATTGGGAGAAACATCTACCATACTTACTTTGGGCTTATCGAGAAGTTCCTAATGCTACAACTGGTGTTAGTCCTTTCCAAATGCTTTATGGAAGACATCCTAATAGCCCTTTGTCTATCTTGAAAACGTCATGGACTGATGAAACTCCTGTTCCTCATGGACAGTTAAGCTCAGTTACCAATTATCTGAAGGATTTGAAGATGAAATTGGAAAAAGCTGCTGAATACGCATGACTTACAGATGTTGGAAAGCAACAAGCTTATGCATTTAACCGTAACCGAAAGACTCGTCATAAAGAATTCAAGGAAGGTTACAGGGTTATAGTTTTAATCCCTGATAGTCAAAACAAAGTTTATGCCAGATGGACGGTACCTGCTACGATCGTCAAAAAGCATACTGCAATACAAATGCTTGACAATTTCTCGAAGCATGTTCACGCAAACAAGATACAAGAGTTCAATACCGCTGTGAATAATGTCGGTGTGATTTATGATACAGATATTGATTTCGGCAAAGTTGAAAAAGTTCCAAGAATTGTTCTACGGAAAGCAAAAGAACAATTTTCTAATGAAGAATGTGATTTTACGCACCTTGAACCGCATAAGAAGAAAGAACGTATGGAAATTTTAAGAAGGAACTGGTATTCTGAAAATCGCCAATGTTAGAGAACACAGCATCAAACTGAAACCTGGAAGTATGCCAAAAAAGCAAAAACCGTATTGAATACCTGAAGTTCTAAGAAGTATTAAGTTGATAGTCAAATAGATAAGCTACTACAGCTAAAGCTAATCGTTGAATCAAAAAGTAAATATGTGCATCCAGTAGTCTGTGTGTCAACAAAAGAGAACGGTAACATGGGTAGACTAAAAGCCTATGCTGAGTTTATTGATGACGTGACTTAATGACATGATTATATTTTCCAGTGAGTGAAGCATGACTGATGTTGTGAACTATAAACTATAAGACATTTTGACTATTTAGTTTGAACACATTTTTTTTTTTTTTGAGCTAAAATGCTATTTTTTTCCCTAACGTTATGTAATATGTTTAAAGATTTAGCCAGGGTTTGCTAAAGTATTATGTTTAATTTTAAATGATTGATTTGTATTGTCTTGTGTATATGATAACTGCTTATGTGATTATGATTATGTAAAGGATTTAAGTTTGAAAAGTTAATTGAATGTTACATCGTTTAAATGAATAAGATTACTGAATTTATGTTGAAGTAATTTGAATTTAAAATGGTAAGAATTGGTTAATTAAGTTCGAAAATTGCATGAATGTTATTTTAATTGGTTTTAAGAAATGTTTATATGTGTGGATTTGACAGGTCATTGAAAGACGCAATCAAATCTTTTAGAGGGTAGGTGTCATGACGTGATGACCACGCAAGTGCAGTTTAGCCGAACGGCCTGAAACGCCTCTCTCTCATTTGACTTACTAAAAAAGAGTAGTTAGTTAGTAGTTGGTAGCGAAGTAACAAAGGTAACATGCCGTATGACAGCGTGGATGAAAAATACGCAGTTATACTTGTGTGCTAATCGTTTGTTCTTATTATTTTTTTGTGTGTTAATAAAGTTTTTGTGCCATTAAAATGACTAGTTTATGCAATGCCCACATTATGATACGTCTACAGTAGAAACTAAATATATATCCAGAACCTACATGCCCAAGAGGAAAGATATGACAAATGCTATATATAACTTAATATATATTATATGTCGCGCTTTCGAGACATGGAAAACGCAAGTTAAATTTCGACAATCAGTCCAGTAGAACAGAAGATATAGAACTGTCCCATTTGGGAGGGGGCAAGGTGTACACTTCTTGAATTAATAAAATGAAATACTTACGCAAGGCTGGCAAAACCAAAACCTGTCACGCTTTTCATTTGATGTTCTGTAACAATCTCTGCATTGTCTAATTTCTCCCAAGTCATAACGGCAGTCTCTCAGCATTTGTCGAGTCCTATCAGCTAAAGTGCTATGAACTAGTTTAAAAAAAAAAAAAAAAAAAAAAAAAAAAAAAGAAGACATTACAAAAGAGCTTGTGTACAAAAAGGCAAAGCTATAAAAATGAATACTATCATAAGAAATATAAATATGCACATGAATTTTAAAGTTTTACAATAAGCTCATGAACATAATCATATTTACTTTGATTTCAGACAAAATAAAATTTTCTCGTCATCAAAAATAAACAAATGGAGGGGTCAAAACAGACCAATGTACTAGTTTTAAGCAGGATAGCCATAAATTTTATCTTGTAAATAACAGTCTAGCATCTGCAAAATATCTAAGCAGTTGTTTGTTTTGTGTCTTTGCATTATATCTGGGAAATTCCCATGTCATTTTAAACATTTTCCGTTATTATTCTGTTAAAAATAGGAAGTAGAAATATGATGACACTTAGTGCAGTATTTAAAAAGAGTCTTTATCATTTGGATTTCAAAAAGTGCTCATTTTTTTAAAGTTATTTAAATGATCCATTTCCTCAATTTCTGTTTTTCTCAAATTTTTTACACATTTTAAAAGGTTTATGTACAGACTTCATTTTTTTCAATATTTCAAACTTCCTCACTACCATTATTTCGAAGTCTATTGCTTCAAATGGTTCAGTTCGGTTCGGTTTATTTCATTATGGCAAAGCACACTAGGGCTATCTGCCTAAGGGGAGGGATGCCTTCGTGGAGGACTTTCTAAGGGAAACTGGCTCGTATACACATTACACATGGGGAAAACCATGAAAACACCCACGCAGCCAGCCCGTTCATGGGATTCGAACCTCGGACCGAACTACCAGTGTTCAGCGACTTTACCGCTCAGCCGCTGCTGGGCCCTAATGCTTCAAATGAAAGGAACAATAAGATGTCTCTCATTTTAAATCAAAAGCTAGAACTGATTAATTTTAAGAAAATCGTGTTAAATTGAGAAACACTAAAAACTTCAGCTTCTTTCATCATTCAACTTAAGAATACAAAGAAAATTCCTTGAAGGAAATTAGAAGGAAAACATACAGCTTAAGGATGCAGAAAAAAGACTACTGCCTTATAGATATAGCATGCATAACGCAAACACACGAAGTAGAAAATCAAAATTATCATGACTTTTTAATTGCAATAACCTAATGCTTGTTACTCTAATCAATAATTTGTTTTAATTGCAATAATTTAATGGTTATTACTTTAAAAAAAACCATCAATAACTTGAAATTCACTTACACGTTAAATATTCCTACAGCTATATTACTATTGTGCATACTATTGTTACTATTTTACAACTAAATCAGAGTTTCTTAAACTGTAAGTCGCCAAAAATTTTAGCAGTTTTGATATTTCTTATTATATTATAATAATTTTACACAATGTATCTGAATAAAGATAAGACAATACAGACAAAGAAAAAACGAAAACATTTCGATGCATTCTTCTCTACATATAATAAAACAAAGTGTCTGTCTCTGTGTGTGTCTTTCGTTTGCGCTGCGCGTAAACTAATGGACCCACGGCTATGAAATTTGGTGCATAAGTGCATCTAGAAAAGAGCCAGTGCACCTCAAAGCAATTTTTTTCGAAATTAGAATTAGAATTTTTTTTTATTTTATGTTTTGTAACAAAATCGCGTCATTTTGAGACATAATGGGCTATAGGAAAGCGAGATTTTACTCTACACACTCCATTTTCACATCGTCATGAAACGTAGGCACTTCACTATTTTACGAACTTAAAATAAATTTCGTGTTTCAATAAATCGAATAATTACGAATTTATTTAACAAAGTGAGCTTAACACCTTTTCAACGGGATTTTTTCTAAAAAAGTTTATTTTAAAAAATGTACAGTTTATTTATTTTATTTTTGGACATGTTAAACTTTCATCCTTGCGGACTGCTTTTACAAAAAGAATTTTGGAAAAATGATCATATTTTTTATTTTAAAAAAAAATTTTAAATGAAGCTTCCGAGTACACTTCTCCCATCTCACATCTTTAAAAATGTGATTTTGGCAACAATTTTCCTTTCTTATTGTTGTTGATAAATTTTTGATGAAATCGCATCATTTTGAATAGTTTCATTCTTTTAGAACTATGGGTTTGGCAACAATTTTTCATTGTATTTCTTATGTCACTGTTTTTAAGAGATTGGCTGATGTTTTTTATAAAGTTGTTCTGCAGAGTAAAATTGTACGCAGAATTTTTTTCATGTTATTTCTTGCTTATTTCACTGTTTGTAAGATATTTAAAAGTTTTGCATGATTTTTTTTTCTTCAACGGAAAGTTGGTTAACTTTTTTTATTAGGATAATTAATATTTGTATTAAGGGATATAGCTTATTTCATTGTAATTTTTGGTGTTTTTTGGTAGGCGGTTGCATGGATTTTATCGATTTTTCTTTTGGCGGGTAATACGACTTATGGTAAGCGATACTTTGTTGTCATTTTATTTTTAAAATAATGCGTTTTTAATATAATGCATAAATTCCGTGTTTTAAATATTAATTATTGATTTTAAATATTAAAAATCAATTTAATTTTGCATTTGTTTTAAAAATGATTTTATTATAAATGATTATTTAAATAATTTTAATTCTATGCATGATGTAATCAGCTCCCTGATTGGTTACTGAATATTCGTGCATTACCGCGCCATTTTAAAATTTTATTATTCATCTCTTCGAATTTCTCAGATTTCAAATGGAATAAAAAAATTTAAGTACATAATTTTCTTTTACTTTATAATTGCATACTTCAATTTTTATTAAAAATTAATACAATTTTTTCAAAAATTCCTGATATATTTATTACCACATATGTTTTAATGTTAAATAATTAAATCCTATAAAACTTATTTTAAAGTATTTAAGTAATATTTTAATTCATTTAAACGTTAGTATGATATTTTGAATTCGATATTCTATTTAAGTAATATTTTAATCCAATTAAATGTTTGCGCAATGTTTTTATAGCGGTGATTTTATTCTATTATATGAAAGTAATAATTTAACCTTACTTTAGTATTTTATACTCTTAATAAATGTATTTACTTACATTTGCCAGCCATCTTAAAAAACATTGTTCAACAAATAATTAATCCATTATTTTTAACGATATTTATTTTTTTAAAGTTTTTAACACTTTACTATATGCGTAAAATACGTAAAAACAGCATTTTTCAAGATGGCTGATGACTATAAAAACCTCGCCAAAAATTGCGCCAATGTAAATCGGCAAAAATCTGTGCAACCGTCTACCAAAGTAGCACCTAATTTTTTTATCTTGAAAATATAAGATAAAATATCATTAATTATACTTTGCTTTTCAGAATTTTTTGTTTTTTGTATTCTTTTATGTTATTTAATGTTCATTTCACTGTTTTTAAGATATTGAAAAGTTTTGAGTGATTTTTTTAGAAAACAAAGTTCTTAACCTCCTTTATAATATTTGAGTTCCTAAGATTTTGCAAAGGGAAGTTGGTTAATTTATTTATTAGGATAATGAATATTTGTATTAAGGGATATTGCTTATTTCATTGTAATTTTGTTGTACGTAATAACTTTTTTTATGAAGTTTTTCTGCAGAGTGAAGTTCTATGCAGTTTTTAAATTTAACGTTTGGTGTTCCCTTCAGCCATTTTTTCGGTACATTTAAAAGCCAGATGAAGGCTGGCAGTGATGCTGCTAGTTTTATAATATAAACGTTCATTTTACTTGCTTTGCACGTGACGCTGTCATTTCGTCTGTTACTTATTTAAAATTTTCACATTGTTCTATATCTTAAACTTAGAAATTAAAGTTAATGACCTAAAACTGCAATAGTATATTACAGTACAAGTGGAAAAATTGACAGGTTTACTCGCATGTGTGTTGGATTTACACAATGGTTATGGGGTCTCACAAAATTTTCGTATATTTATGGGGTCCTGAGGTTGAGGAAAATATTTCAATAACAAAGAGGGGTCGCGACTGAAAAAAGTTTAAAAAAACCTGAAAAAAGTTTAAGAAACCCTGAACTAAGTGAAAGTGAATGTAACACTAGGCACTGACAGTAAGTAAACATGATACGCTTTAACAAATATTGTATAAATATAACTGCATCATATTAATATCTCATTACTAATTTAATTATGTATTTCCTTAAAATTTTAGAAGAAAAAAATCAATTTTTGCATCTAAGTGACATATTCACGAAATTTTTCAATTTTGGCATTTTTTAAATTCCCCCCCCTTCCCCCGATTGCATCTAGAGAATGGATTCGGAGCAATTCTGCCTCTAGATTACGAGCAACAATGGTCAACTGTAAACTCTCGCAAAACCATGGGACTTTTAACACTTTCACCATGCACTGGAGGGAAAGGATTGATCTTCTGTAATCAGTCATCCTTGTTTACGTAAAAATATGTGAAATCACAACTTCTCATAGCATGTTTATGATTGTCTTTTTACCAGTATGGCATATGAAAATTAACACATGCTGTTTCTTAGAATTTAAAAGAGAAAACAATGCATGCAAGGATTGCCTTTTGCTTTATGGAAAATACTTTTTTTTAATAAAATGCGGTATTGAGCTATAAATTGAAAAAATAATAATTGCTATCATAAAGAACCTATTATGACGTTCTGAAATTCATCATGGAAAGCACAGTAAGTCAATTCTCGCAAAGTTATTAACTTTAACATTAATCATGCTGAGGTCAAATGATTCAAAAACCTTTTACATGCTACAGTCAAAAGTCGTTAATTCGGACACCCATAATCCGGAATGATCTATAATTCGGATCTCAAAGCTACAAACTTTCTGTGCATGCGTTGCGTTGACACATGCGCGTAAGACCTTTACGACTGCGCATTTAATGTATAATGGACGGTATAAGCTAAAATTATGTAATTATCTATTTCAGTTAATGTTGCAGATTGGGTTGTTCCTTAATCTTCGAATTGGATCCGGCTTATAATTTTTTGCAGACTGTTAGAGCAATTTTATAAAAGTAAGCTTGAACTTTCAATTATGTCAAATAGAATTTCTGATACATATTATCTAATATGTAAAGGATCTACAAAGCGAAAGTATGTTTCGAAGTCCATTAAACAAAAGTGGAATTGCTGCAATTTGAAGCTGCTCTGGGGGGGATCGCGGTGCGCAATGAACAGGAAATTGATCTGTCAGCACTATCCTTATCTTCAGGGCAGATGTTTTTATTTTATTCAGCTTATAATTCCTTACTAAATGTAGTATTTCATCATCAATGTATTCCGTCTTTGATATGATTTAAATCAAATTCCTCGTCATTATAAATATCACGAGTACACATCAAATAGTTTTCTGGTTGCAATTTTCTAATTTCGACTATGCGTAATGTATGCTTTATGCATACGTGCGTTGAAAGAAATGTTTAATAAAGTAAACAAATAAATATTAAGCTTTTTTTTTGTAACTTTTGATAACCTTCAGATCATAATGGCTCTTTATTTCATAAATTATGGTTTCATATTTTTAATTTTATAATTTCTGCATGCCATCTTACCAGATTTAAACTGATCATCTATAATCCGGAATCGCCGAAGTCCCAACGAGTCTGGATTAATGACTTGTGACTGTACTACTTTAAAAGAGATACCTCATGTAAGGATTTCTTATAGGAAAAGCAAGTTTTTACTACTGTATATTATGAATACCATGACAATCTGTGACCTAAAGTATATTTCTGTTCAATAACAGTGCAAAAATTTATGTCATTTACATGAAATTTGTAAGAGATATTTTATGTAATAATTGTAGATGGCAATAATCTACTTTTTATGGAAAAATGTGATATTATTTGTAACACAATTCATGTTTCAGCAAAAATGTTTGAGCAAAAAAGCTTGGATTTCTTTTCTGGGGAAATTTTCACAGAAATATTTATTTCAGCACTTTTTCCCATTGAAAATATTTGGCACTATTTTGGGCAATAAAGCTGACTTGCACTTCGTATCTCTATTTCTGGTCTCAGACAGATTACCGAGTGATATAGATCAGGAACAAAATATTCATTTCTCTTCAGAACATAATTTTTAAAATATATGCATAATAAAAGTCCGATGATATTTTTTTACTAACAAATTACACTTTCAAGATAATTAAGTGCGTAAAAAAATTACACTTTCAAGAAAACAATAAAAAAAATCATTAATTTCCTTAACACGCTGACTGTCCAACACAAGATAACTCATATTAGTGCTCTTCTTGAGGATGCCCAATACGAGTTATCTCATAGTTTCTTGACTTGCCACTTTTGCGCCGCTACGAGTTAATTCATAGTTTTTAAGTGTAAATACAAATGGATGGCATCCTGGAAGAAAATAAATTTATTATCACTGTGCTCACTTGAATCATCAGGAGGTACATAATCACTACTGTTGTTACCATCTCCAAAAAAAATTCTTCAGATTCTAACTCACTTAGATTAGAGATCGACTTCAGTAATCGGCTTTTCCTTTCCATACTTTAGTATTTATTATTTTATTGTAAACAAATAGATACAACAATATTTAAAATCGATGAAAATGTAATGTTTTGGATCCAAGATCGGACATAACGCTGAACAACTTACTCGCTTAGCACTTGTTTTAGCTGTACTGAGGCAACAAGTCGAAGCATGTCTGTATGAATCAAATAGTGGGCTTCTGCAAAGAGCTTTATCTAATAAAAGCCGACTATGAGATAATTCATAGGATACTTTGGAAAAAAAAAAAAAAAAACCATCCTGTAAATTTTTTAATGATTGTTACAAATCATAATTAGTATTTTTAATAATATAATATGATTAAATCAGTTTGGCTTCTCGGACCAGAATCCGAGAAGTGCTGCGGCAATCAACGTGTTAAGGTACACATCGGCATTTAAAAATAAATTACCTCCATAGTAAAGAACAACATTGTGGACCAATGTTTGAACATCTGCCTGGAATTCTTCAAGGCGTTTATAAACATTATCTTGTGTTTTATCTTCAATGATAGACAAATCCATTTTTTCATATATCAAAAAATCATAACGCCATTTTTCATCATTCTTATGATGAACCTTATGTAATTCACGACTCTGTAAATTTATAAACAGAGATAAATCATACATATTTTCTTAAATGAGAGTTATTAATTAATAAATGAAATTTACTCATCAAAATTTTAAATCAAAAAGCAAAAATGGGTTATAAAATGCATATTATCATACACATAAACATACAATTCAAAGAAAATATGAAAATTTTAAAAAAAAATTTCCCCACAGTAATTTTTTGACTGTTTACATATATGCAAGATTTTCAGTAAACACTGCATAAACTCTGTATAGCAGTGCTATTGGGTGGATAAAAAGAATACAGTTTTTTTGGAAAATCTTGACCACACCCACTTATGATACCACACTGGATGTACAAAAAATAAATTAAGAGAATGAAGTTTAAATTTTTACTGATAGAGGCCGTTGCACCATATTAACAGTAAGGATCATAGACTAAGCTCTTCTGAAAATAATTTATTCAATCTCAGAGACCATTTTTATAACTTAGAAGCACTTTTTTTGTACTTCTGACAGCACCAGAACTATTCAGTATCATTTTTTGAGTTGCTTTGACTGCCCTCCAAATACCGCGTATTATCCTCTGTTGGCAAAACTTTAGATATCAGGACATTCAGATACAAAGCCACCAATTTATTAAATATAACAATGAAATTACTGAAGGGATAGAAACACATATATTGTTACAATTCTAGGTACTGTCTAACGGCATCAAAACAGCACTGCCAGTGGTCTAGCAGTTTTTAAGCACCCACCCAGACAGCACTGGTTTCAGTTCCCATCATAGATTTCCTTACCCAGGTCTGCAAGCAAGCATCAATATTGGAATCTGCAATATCACCAACTGCATCCTTGCAATTGATGAATAAAAAAATAATATAACAGTATGCAAGAGAGAACATGATAATTTATTACCTTCTCTCCCACTAAAAGGGGCAATTGGAGAAGGGCTTAATTAACCAAATCCAGCTGATAATGAATGATTTTGTTTTATTCCCTACTGTTATATAATAATATAAAAAATCATTTTGTTTTTATATTATTGGGTTATTATTATCTGAATTCATATTTCCATACTTTTAGTTTACCATTTACTAACCAGTAAATACTAATATAGACAATTACTAATATATACAATTACACTAATATATACAATTACTAATATAGGAATTTTAACCAGTAAATGGTTTAGTTTGGGAATCACTGCAGAGAGATCTTGCAGCAGGATATATGAAAAATCAACTCTGCTCTCAATGGGATTCAAGCCAAGAATCTTTAATTTGCTAGTAGGACTTACTAACCTCTTATACCACGAAAATATGCCATAATTTCTTAGAAGGTAATTCCCTATCATTCATAATAAAATTTTATAATTAAAATATTTCCCAAACTAAAAGTAATCATTCTATCTTATAATGCTTCAATTCATTTCATTTTAAAATACTTCAATTGTATTCTGATACTACAACTTTTAGAAAAGATTTTTAAAGTAAAAAAATTGCTTATTTTTATAAGAACAAATATATATATATATATATATATAATCAAAGAAAGCAAATTTTTCCTTCAATTAACACACCAAACAAAGTTAATACTCATTAACTGATATGACAACTGAAATTTAAAAATTTGCTATTATTTAAAATTACGTTATAATCTCAAACTTCCAATGGTATAAGTAACATTGGTACTTCTCTGTTATAGTGGGCCCCCAGATTGAATCACCAATCAAGGGAGATATTTCACTAAAATCTGGCTGCGTGCTTTTATACCTCACCGCATAATTATGTATAAACACAGATTTGCATTTTTGCTCTCACTGCATGTTCTTATATTATTCATTTTTGATGATATTTTTAAATTCGCATTATTTATTAGAATTATTTCAATTATTTGAAAGTATATAAATTGAATCTTTAATTTACCAAGTAACGAGTGGATGCTCTAGCATTTTTTCAAGAGAGAGGTCTTTTACCTGACATACAAGTTGATGGTAATGAAATGTCCACAACATGAAACTTTATGCTAATGAAAAAAAAACCATTTGAGGGCACAATGTTAAAAATTGGGAAAAGAAGGGCACCCCATGTTAAAAACTGGTTCAGCAGTTCCAGAATATCATTCGTCACTGCTATTAGATTTATGTATTCTTTGGCAGAGCAGGTGACATCTACGAAATGGTGTAACAAGCAGCTTAATATATGTGAAGTGCTACAGTTGACTGGAACGATTACATGCGATACAATAATAATAATAAGGACTCTTAAAAAAATACATGCGAGTATTATTGTTATTATATATTGTGTTATTTACTTTTACATGACTATGTATATGAATTTACGCTTCATGACCTTGGCAAAATTACAGCCGAGATCCTGGCACAAATCCAAAATCACCAAATATGGTTGGGGGCTATAACAAAGTACGGTACCATCTACCATCATCCCGTATACCATATTTAACTTGAAGTTTGAAAAACTTTTAAAAGTAATAGTAAATAAAATGATGAAACTTCTAAAAGTAATAAATACATACATTGCATACTTTTTCTTTTAACCTAAGGCAAGTATAGCCCAACAAGAGATTCAAATCATCTCTTTTTAACTTAAAAGCATCTTTTGACTTGATCATCTGGAAAAAGAAACATGAAAAAAATTATTGTAAAACATAAACAAGCATGACAATTTTATGAATAAATAAATAAAAATAAAATCATACAAACAGTCTACAACTCACAATAAAGTATGAAACAGAGATAGGTCTTGTCCCAATTTCATCTTGTTTTTATTAAGGCAAATATATGTGCCTTCAATATTATTTTGCAATAAAATTATCTCAAAACTAAATTTTTAAGGAAAATCAAATGTATGGTATTGTGTCGTAAGACTATAAATTATATAATTTTAATGCTGATAAAGCAGAAAAAATTATTAAAATTTCTAGGTAATTTTAGGTATTAGTTTGTTTTTCCACCAACCAAAATGGTAACCCCCCCCCTCAAAAAATCACGCAGTTTAGGTGGCATATAAGAAAAACACTTTCTAATATAGGAATTTTAACCTTTTCGTGACGGCGCACCTTTGTTTAAGACGCTCCTGCGGGACAGAAGAGAATCGAATGTGTTGTGTCATAATTGTTTTAATGTGCTAAAAATGGAGAACCTAAAAGTTCATTTTCTTCATTTTATGCTATTTTATTTTTAAAAAGGAAAGAAAAATACTAGTCAAACTGCTCGCTAAACTTGAGGTATATATGAACAAACTGTTGTTTCTGATAATACAGTTTAAATGTGGTTTTAAGAAGTTAAAGTGTGAGAATTTCAGCATTAGAAATTATATCCACTCTGGACGACCATCCTCTGGAAATAAAGACCTATTACAAGAAGCTATCACTAAAAACCAACATTATACAGTCCAAGAACTATCAGACAAAGTGAAATTTCAAAAGACAGTACAATGATCATTTGAAAAAGAATGGGTATGTATGGTACTATGATTTATGGATACCTTTAACACAATACAAGTAGACTATACTTGCTCAAGTTTCAGCATGTGATTTTTTCCTGAAATAAAATAAAAAAGCTCTTTTTTTAAAAATGGCTAATTTGTTGGAGATGAGAAGTGGATGCTATATAGTAATGATAGAGATCATGGTTAAATCAAAAGAACCTCCTTTAGTGCTATCAAGAGAAGAGTTGCATTCCAAAAAAAGTAATGCTTTGTGTATATTTCGGCTACAAAATAAAAGCAGAAATCAAACCAAAGTGCCCAGAATTGACCAATCATCAAGATGTTGTCTTCCATTATGTCAATGAATGGCCTTACACATTTCAATGAATGTCAAATAAAGAGTTCTTGATGTTCTGTGTCACCCTTCATGCTCATTAAACCTTCTCCCTTAAGAGTTTCATCTATTCAAATGTAAAATTCTCTGAACAGGCTGCAGTTTGCCTCTTCGGGGACTCTCAAGAAGCATCTCTGTAACTTTCTTAAAAACAAACCTAATAACGTTTTTAAGAAGGAATTTTCCATTTGCCGGAGATATTGCAAAAAGTAAGAACAAAATGCTGCTTATGAGCTACAATAAAATTCTTTTATGTTTTGCATTACGTCATTTGTATTCATCATAAAAAAATTGCAAAATTTCCAATATTATAATTCTTTAGATATTTAATACCACCTTCCTCTTAAAATCTGGTTATATACACATATCCAATTTCAATAACAACATTAAGAAACCTCTATCCCTTCTTTGTGTTAAATTTCGCCCCCCTCCTTTTTTACTTCCTTGTACGAAGTAAAAAGGAAATATAGTAATTGCAAAAAGTTTCAGGCAGCATATTTCAACGAAAATATCCATTTTGACCGCTATCAAATGCAATTTAACGATGTTTTTGCATGATATCTGTACTTAAGGACAGAATAAAAGACTCGTTTCCTCAAAAAAAATTATAAAACTGCTTTAAAATTAATTCTGAAGAGAATTTTTTCATGGCGTCTGTACGAACGTATGTACGTACGTAACTGGCATAACTCAAAAACGAGTAGCCTCAGAACGTTGAAATTTTGTATATGGGACTGCTATAACATGTAGATGTGCACCTCGTATTTTGGTTGCAATCGGCCACACCAAACGTATATAAATATATTTATATATATATATCCACTCTGTTACCCGGCTCCGTGATCTCAGTTTCTTCACTCTTATATGTTTGTAAATTGTACATTTTTTGCTTTAAAAATGATTGAATTATGTTGTTTTTATCTTCCAGTTAAGGTTTTTATGCCTTCAGTAAAACTGTATGCAATATTTTTAGAATTATCAATAATTTTAAAGTTGTTTAAGTGCCGCTAAGCCTTTTTTTTTATGCCGCCTCATTGATTGTTTACATTTGAAACAGCAGACTAGTGGATTTGTTGCCAATCTAGAGAAACTTAGCTTCGCAACAACAAAGATAACGCCTTCATTTATTATTGCAAATTAAAATGCTTAATTCCGTGCTTAATTCTTTCTGGAATTTTTTCGAGGAAATAAGTGTTTAACATTTACTTCGTAATTTTTAATATAGATATTTTGAGTTTTTATGTATTTTTGCCTTCTCGCGAAGTGAGAAGCTGAAATTAATTGAATCAGAAATACTCAATCATCTGTGAAAAAACTGTTTCTTTTTTTTTTTTTTTTAGTTGTTGTTGTTTTGTTTTTTATTTGCTTGCTTAATTTCTTTTATACATCGTTTCAAGCTTTATTATTAGTTATTTGAATAGAACATGTGGCAACGATTATATAATTCTATTCTTTAAATGATATAAATTTTGTGCATTATGAGTTATAATATGAACAATATATAATACTGTTAAGTGAATCTAGCGCCAGAGTGTCGCTATGGTAAACAAATACTAGAGTTAATTTTAAAGAATGCATTTATTCTATTGTAGTTTATGCGCTGTCGGCGAAGTAGATTTAATTCAATCCAATAAGTTTAAATGAAATATAAGAAAAAATGCGTATAATTTAATATTCCGTAAAAAGAAATCATGTGGTGTACACATCAGATTTTTTTTTTTTTTTTTTTTTTTAAAGAGGGATTGACACTATTTACTTCCTTGTACGAAGTAAAAAGGAAGTATTGTAATCGCGAAAAGCTTCAGGCAGCATATTTCAACAAAAATGTCCACTTTGACCGCTTTCGAATGCAATTTAACGATGTTTTTGCGTGATATCTATACGTAAGGACAGAATAAAGACTCTTTTCCTCCAAAAAAAACTAAAAAGCTGCTTTAAAATGAATTCTGAAGAGAATTTTTCGTAGCGTCTGTACGAACGTATGTACATACGTATCTCGCATAATTCAAAATCGAGTAGCCTCACAACGTTGAAATTTTGTATATAAGACTACTATAACATGTAGATGTGCACCTCGTATTTTGGTTTCAATCGGCCTCGGCAAACAAATATAAATATATTTATAAATATATCCACTCTGTTACCCGGCTCAGTGATCTCAGTTTCTTTACTCTTATATGTTTGTGAATTGTACATTTTTTGCTTTAAAAATGATTAAATTATGTTGTTTTTATCTTCCGGTTAAAGTTTTTATGCCTTTCGTAATTCTGGAAGCAATATTTGTACAATTATCAACAATTTAAAAGCTGTTTAAGTGCGGTTAAGTTTTAAATAACATGGCGGACATATTTGTTCACATTTGAAACAGCAGAATTGTAGATTTGTTGCCAATCTAGAGAGACAAAGCTTCGCAACACAAAAAAAAAAAAAAAAAAAAAAAAAAAAAAAAAAAAAAAACGCCTTCATTTATTATTGCAAATTAAATCATGCTCAATCCTTCCTCGAATTTTTTCAAGGAAATATGTATTTAAGATTTACTTCGTAATTTTTAATACAGATATTTTGAGTTTTTATGTATTTTTGCCTTGTCGCGAAGGGAAAACTGAATTAATTAAATGAGAAATACTCATTCTTCTGTGAAAAACTGTTTCTTTTTCGTTTTGTTTGCTTAATTTCTTTTATACATCATTCTAGCTTTGTTATAGTATTTGAATAGAACATGTGGCAACGATTAGATAATTCTTGAAATGATATAAATTTTGTGCATTATGAGTTATAATATGAACGAAATATAATACTGTAAAGTAAACCTAGCGCCAGAGTGTCGCTATGGTAAACAAAGTGAATTTTAAAGAATGCATTTATTCTATTGTGGTTTATGCGCTGTCGGCAAAGTAGGTTTAATTCAATCTAATAAGTTAAATGAAATGCAAGAAAAATGCATATAATTTAATATTCTGTACAAGGAAGTCATGTGGTGTACACATCAGATTTTTTATATTTAATTATCTAAATCTTCTTAATTATGAAATCCATTACTTAACAGCCAGTTACTGAAAGAAAAGGTAGTCTGAAAGGAAATCTGTTGTAGTGTAAGTTAATGAATAAACTATTTCCAACAGACTGCATTCAAGCATGACATATACAGTCAAAAGTCTTTAATCCGGACTCGTTGGGACTTCGGCGATTCCGGATTATCGATTTTTCCGGATTATAGATCATCAGTTTAAATCTGGTAAAATGGCATGCAGAAATTATAAAATTAAAAATATGAAACCGTAATTTATGAAATAAAGAACAATTATGATCTAAAGGGTATCAAAATTTACAAAAAAAAAAAAGCTTAATATTTATTTGTTTACTTTATTAAACATTTCTTTCAATGTAAGTTGTTTAAGTTGCTTCGTTTTTTTATGTGATAATACATTCTCTTTAATTCCATAAACAGACATAATTTCTTGTTCAGTTACAAAGTTCCGCTGTTCAAGTCCTATAATTGCTGTGTCGAGAATACCGACTAATTTGTCAATCGAAATTTTTTCGTTTTCAATAACCTCTGTCACTTTCTTCGCTATCGGAAGCGAATTATAATGACGAGGCATTTGATTTAAATCATATCAGAGTACATCGAGAGGAAATACCACATTTAGTAAGCAATTATAAGCCAAATAAAATAAAAACATCTGCCCTTAAGATAAGGATAGTGTTGACAGATCAACTTCCAATTCATTGCCACAGCGTTAAAAATAAACAAAGTTTAGATAAACAAAGGATATGCCTTTATCCATTTTTTGCAGCAATTCCACTTTTTGTTTAATGGATTCCGAAAGATATTTTCGCTTTGTATATCCTTTACATATTAGTAAAATATATATCGGAAATTCTACTTGAAATAATTAATAAATAAGTTCAAGCTTTCTTTTATAAAATTGCTCTAACAGTCTGCAAAAAATAATAAGCCGGATCCAATTTGAAGATTAAGGAACAATGCAATCTGCAACATTAACTGAAATAGATAATTAGATAATTTTAGCTTAGCTTATCCCATCCGTTATACATTAAATGTGCATTCGTAAACGTATTTTGCGCACGCGCAAATTCGCAGCCGTAAAGGTCTTACGCATGCGTAGAAAGTTTGTAGCTTTGAGGTCCGGATTATAGATCATTCCGGATTATGGGTGTCCGAATTAACGACTTTTGACTGTATTCATACTAGCTTGAATTATATGTTAATTCAACACTATTAGAACATATTTAGCTTCTTTCTTGTCAAAATCAATGTTAACATAATTTATTAAATCACTTTTTTAAAATTGTTAAACACACCAACTTACTTTGCACACTTCACACACCAGTTTTTCAGATTCTCCGAGTGGTTCTTTCAAGCATGCCTCATGATAGACTCTATGACAAGTTGAACAATACAGAACTTCACCTTCCTTATGACATTCAAAGCAGTACCAATCATGACCATCTCTTTGCTGAAATAGAATTTAAAATATCAAACTTGCAAAGTTTTCATAATTTTTTTATTTTTAATTCAAGTTTAATAAATTATTTAGTGATTAATTCAACATATTAGAATTATCTGAAATAAATGTCAATCTGAAAATTCAATATTTAACCATCAACACATTTGAATTACTAAGTGTAACAAGTGGAAATTTCTTGCAGGTATACCTTTAGACATCATAGAAAATAAATATACATTTAAAATGTTTTCTTTTGCATTATTATTGTTTACATGCATTTTCATAAATATTTAGTAAGCAAAATTTTAAATTCAATTTACTTTTTTTTTTTTTTTTTTTTTAATCTAGACTGCAAGTTGTTTTCAGATTGTGCATTCAGCCTATCTGAAATCCGAGTTTGAGACTATTGCTTACAATACGTCAAAATTACAATATAATAATTCTTTTTTCTCCATTTAAAGGGTGTCAGATTTGTTTCCTTAAATATCAAAGTATTTTGTTTTTATGCCATACCTAATAGAATAATGGTTAGAGACAGCTAACTATTAATCTGAAAAGCAAGGGAGGGATATGACTTATTGTTATTATAAGTTATTGTTTAATGTATTGTCTTTGTTTTCAGATAGATACAATAACAGTTGTCCCCTGAGGTGATCCTACATAACATTGCCCTTGATGTCATACTTATATAACTAGTGTTATTCAGTAATAACTATCAATCTTTCATCAAAAACTATTAAAGTTTAAAATTATTTCTATTTAAAAAGAAAAGCAAAATATTTTAAGATTTCATGCTAACTTTTAGTTTAGTAAGTTTAATTTATAGAATTAAAAAATTTTGGAATTTTAGTTAAATTTTAATTACATATTTTAATTTGCAGCATTTAAAGTTTTTCAAATTCTACTTGTATTTTATTATCACATGTACAATTACATATTTCTCATTCTATACAAGTATGATACTGATCTTTGATGAACACATTCGACAGAACGAAGCTTGCAACATTTTTTAGGGGTTGGGTTGCATTGTGTTACACTCAAAAAGTTAAAATATATCTTTAACAAGCAAAAAATATTGCAATTAAAAAAAGGTTCTTGTATTAATGGAGGAATTATAACATTAAAATCAATTCTGTTATGTTAGTCTTAAATATATTAATAAAAACACATGTATGCAAACAAGCCCAAAAGAAAAGAGTGATAGGTGACAAGATCGGCTGTAGTGTAGAATTGAGTGCCCCTTCGGTTGAGGACAAATTTTGTTCAGTTTTGGTGATGAATCCCCATTTCTGGTTACCATGATAATTTTAACTTGGTTTTAGCTTCCTGACTTATTTAAGTGAAAAAGATTGATGTGTACATGGATAAAGTCAAGGCAGCAAGCAATGCCGAGTTTGTGCAATTCTTTGATGTTTTTTAAGTGAAAGTAGATCGATGGGTACATAAACACAGAGTTTGTGCAAATCTTCGACTTCTCATTTTGATTTTGCGTCGCGGTCATCTCAAAATTCTGCCTCCCTGGAGTCGATTTTGCTGCCAAAAAAGAATTTAAATAAATAAATAAATAAATAAATAAAAATAAAAAATAAAAAAAAAAAAAAAAACCCAAGGGGCACCCAATTGTGAATCGTTTTTCCAGTTGAACAAGATCAAATGGAATACAAACTGGAAAAACGTATTATCTTTGAATAATTTATTTCAATGGCTTTTCAGATGCATAAATTTCTAACTTATTTTTGATAGAAACACCTTTATAAAAAAATATATCAGAAAATACTGCAGATTCAAGTTTTGCAACATTTTGGAAAAGTGCAATATCTTTAAATTATTTATGCCAATAGTCTTTCAGACGGATAAATTTCAAAGTTAATTTTGGTAGAAATACCTTTATAAAAAAAAAATCATATCTGAAAATAAGTTTTGTAACATTCTCTTTAGAATAAAAAAGAATAAAAATAAGAGGAAAATATTCATAAAACATTCTACATTTATCTAATTTTTTAACATATTGTTAAGTTTTTCCTTTTCTTACTTTTGATTATTCTGACACCAGTTGTTATGTTATTTTCTTCCTACAAGTTCGTACGGGGTTCGTGTAGATTTGGAGTGAATAACGACGACACTTTATGAAGTAACGAAACACACTTTATTTAGCCAATATTAATCAGGACAGGTCCAATAACACTTTATAGAATCGTCGATGAACTACTATAAACACGCTGACACGATCAGTGACACAGCCTTCAGGTTATCAGGCTATCACGGTGGAGACAGCTTCCTGCAAAGCACCCGACTCTGCTTTCCGGAGTACAGCTCCCGACTCTGCTTGGTCGTTCTCGGAACTCCACGTACTCTGGAGACTCTTCACGCTACAACTCGCGATGCACTCGATGGCACACAGAGCACAGCTCCCGACTCTCGGTTCAGTCGTTTCCGGAGCTCAACACGCTCTCTCGACGATGCACTAACCGCGATATTCTAAGAGACTCCTTCGGTGAACTGGACGACCCACTCGGCACTCGCTGCCCGGCTTTCAACTCGTTCGACTCCGCAGGGATTGACTTGCTAGACAAGACACCAACTCGATACTAACTAACTCGCGCTCTAGACGAGGCGCACACACACTCGATGAAAGTCGCACACACTTGCTGACTGCAGACCAGCACGGTTTATATAGCTTTCGGCTTGTGTTCGGGAACATTCTGGACTAAACCAGTAAGAATTCGTTCCAGAAGGTTCTCAAACCGTTCATGGTATATTGTCGCCAAATGTGGCAACCCTAAAACTGCTTTGCGGGGAAGCCATCTCACCACGCCTTTACATTTCGTAACAATATTATCTGAAATTTTTCCAGAAAATACGATTACTTATAAAAAGGGGGGGTTAAATCTGTGAATTGTGAGCAATTAATAATTAACATTAATTACTTTTATATCAACACAACACACACTTACAACATTTTTTTCAGGGATTCTGTATGCTTCTTGTTCAATTCCAACCTTGGAACCTTTATACCCAACACTTTTCTTCATTTCTATCAGACTATCCTGAACTGCATATGAGAGTTGTTTTTCAAGTTCAGCAGGGCTGATATTATGTTTACGCCGCATATAATTTGATATACGTTCCAGATTTGGAATCTGTTTCTGTGCCCTGACAGAAACTATAGCATCCCAGATATGATGAATAGATTCTGTGCTTGCCAGCCTCCGTTTCATGACTGTCATATTCTTGATCTAATAATAATAAAAAAAAAAGAGCTTGAATGAGAAATTATGTACTAAAATAAATAATATATAGTTAATAAATAAATTAAATTTAAGAAGTAAATATTGCACCTATACTCAGGGCTGGCAATAGGCATTTTGCCATCTGATACAGTATTGGAAGGTCTTAAATTCTGCTGCCTCTCTAAATTCTAAAAATTTTGCAGCTCCTAAATTCTGCTGCCCAGTGTCTTCTCCAAATTTAATAATTGTTATTTCTAAATTTTCAACTCAATGCTTCTCTAAATTTTAAAAATCTGTCACGCCTCGTGTGGCTACATCTGTTGCACCAGCTCTGCCACCAGCCCAGTCTGTAGGTTATTAGCCACAAAAGCACGATATTAAACTACAAAGCATACAGCAATGAGCAAAACTATTTTTCAATTTTTCCATTACAATACAATATACCATGCTACTAATAACTTTCCATAAAGCACCAAAAACATTCTACATTCTATTCAAGGCCTAATTTCTAAATAAATAAATAAAATAATAAGCAATGCATTTCCTGAATAGTGTGTCTGGCTGTCTTATAAATACGATAGTGATTATGTGGCGGCATGTTAAAGGCGGTACGAAATTGGTATTTCTGCTGTTTGAAAAAGCATTTATTCATGGTAAGTGCATTTTATTTTAGTCTTATTTTGTAGAAATGGTCATTGTTTTTTTAATATGAATTTCTGTCGTTATTGTTGTTTTTTTTAATTGTTTGAAATTTATTTTAGTTACTTTGTTGATTAGTGTGTACCGTCTAAATTGTGCAATTTGTAGATGTTTAAAAAGTTGAAACAGAATGCTGTATACACGGTATTCTTTGACATTTATTGTTGTTATGTTAATTTATTAAAGTGAGGTGTGCATAGTTCGTAGATTCGTTTGTTGCCTAAATTGTGCAATTCGTAGATGTTTTTTTTAAGTTGAAACAGGACTCTGTGTACATGGTATTCTTTGAAATTTATTGTTGTTATGTTAATTTATTAAAGTGAGGTGTGCGTAGTTCGTAGATTTTTTTTTTTTAAGTTTAAACAGGATGCTGTGTACATGGTATTCTTTGAAATTTATTGTTGTTATGTTAATTTATTAAAGCGAGGTGTGCGTAGTTTGTAGACTAGATTGTGCCATTCGTAGATTTTTTTTTTAAGTTAAAACATATTGCTGTGTACATGGACTCTTGTCAAATAATTTTGGTTAGAAATCAACGGTTTTGCTATCTAAATTTTTAGCTTAAATTGTGTGTTCAAAACGTGGTTCTCGAAAACCGTGTTTTTGGGGACATTTTAGGCTTAAAGTTCGAAATGTAGACAAACAATTTATATAGCAATATGGCAGCATGGAGTTTCTTGCCAAAAATGTTTGGCGAGAAATTTGGTGACTTGTGGGTGCATATCAGAATAGTTCCCTTTTTTTTTATATCTTTTTATTATTAATGTTTTGTGTATTTAGCTATAATTATAGACATCATGTTTGTATTTATGCATCATAAAATTCAATTCAACAGCAAAATCACAAAATATTTTAAAACTTATCTTTAGGATTTGGGATAGCCTTGTGCGCTGAAAATAAAAGTGTTTATTCTATACATTGTTGCAACTGCTTACTTTCAAATTGTTCAGTCTGTTAATCAAAAATTCCTTTAAAGTTTTACAAAATATGGAGTAAATAAAAAATATATAACGTCATTCTAGAAAACTACTGAATGTTTTTAATTAGTTAGAACACAAATTATATGCATTTTGATTTTTTAAATCAATTCAAATCAAACATAAGAAATAAATTTAGTTTGTTAATCTCCCCCAGAAAAATTTAATTTGAAAGATAAATATCTCACATTTTGCTGAATGGCAACCAATTTGAAAAGTGAAATAATGCATTTATAGCAATTCGATGTAAACTCCCATTTTGAAACTAATGGAACCCTTCTGGGCTAATAATAATATAATATAATGATGAAAATCCCTGAAATGATCTATATTTCTAATAAAATACATAAATATTGGTCTCTGACATCACCTTTCCAGTAAGATCATCTTGCAGAAGTCTAAAATCATCTTGTGGGAGGGGGGTCTTATTACTGACAAAAACCAGCTGATGCATATGATGTTAACGAAATCCAAACTCATATCTGCATTTATACATTTTAGCAGTAAAATATAGAATTAAAATAGCATCCACTTTTCATAAAGTCATTGTCACTTATGCAATGATGCACTTCATGCTTAATTTTCATAAGAAAAGATTAACATCTACTACTAATATTTAGGTCATATAACAAAGTGAATTAATAAACTGGCAATATATGACGTACACAATACGACAATATGATCTTTCAACAACACAAAATTAAATTGCAAATCTCGGCTAAAAACAATATTTTTATTCATTCATTTATTTTAGATCCTGTATGCAACTAATAGAAGCTATTATAACAGTGCTTGTAGTTCTGTAATGTGTTTTTTTAAATCTTGTTTCATGTAGAAGTCAAAAGACTACAACTTTTGTTACCCAAAACCCTCGTTTTTATTTTTAAAAAAAAGTATAATTAAGCCTATTGTTATTTCTATAAGTATAATAGGCAAATTATAGTCCATTTATATTTACATTTGATGAAAAACCATTTTAAGTAATATTAATGTTGAAAACCATGTTATTCAATCCAATTCCACATTTTTATGAGAATTAGCCTAGCCTCAATAACAAACAAAAAAAAAAAAAAAAAAAAAAAAATCATGGCAAGTTTGATACTATGCTGCAATCACATCCTGAAACAACATTAAAAAAAAAAAAAAAAGAAAGAAAAGATAAGAAAAACCGTCAAAAGAAAATCAACTATTCTTTCAAATAACATTATGTAAATATATATATTTAAATGTATTATAATTCTAAGTAACCAAGTAATTTAAAGTAAGTAATTTAAAAAGCCAAATACTTGCGCTAAAACTGCCAAAGAGAATTACGGTATTATGGTTTTTACCACAACTAGCACATGAAAATTTTGAAGAACAATGTTTTACACTATGTTTTAAAAAGCAGCTCAAGCACAATCCTTGCCTTTTTAGAAATTCAAGCCTATCATTCATTGGTATGCCTTGAAATTTAGGACATTTATATATAACATGATTAAATAAACAGAAACCATACTTAGATGACTTTACATTAGTTAATACACTACTTTTAGAATGCTTTTGGCTCATGCTCTTAGAAACTCTAGATGCTTTTCAGATTCTTGCATAATATTTTAAAAATTTAATTAAATCATTTAATTTTGGAACTTTTTTTTCCTTACCAGATTCGCATTCGAACCATAATTTTGTTAATGGATCTAATTTTTGTAACAAAATTTATGCAAATATTGTATCTGCAAACCCATTAATTTTATTATTTTTAAAGCTTATTAAAATATTTTTACTATTATAGAAATCTAAATAACTTTAAATCTATGCATTGCAATGCATACTTAAGCTAAAGAGTATTAAAGGCATATACATTTCTATCTTTATTACACAAAAACATTTATTACTCAAAAATCCCTCAGTCCAAACATTTTTATACAAGTAAGATTCAACCGTATAATTTTTTTTCAGACATTTTCTTCTAATTTAGATGGTCATAAAAGATTTCCTCCCATTCTCAATCTCTCAAGAGGAAAAAAATTATATTTTATAAATATTACATTAATAAAATGTTACTGCAACTGAAATTGCTGATTTTTATCCTGATAATATGCTACTGTTATCTATAACAATGTTCTGGGGCCCACTAAAAAAAATCTTTTAAAAGTCCAGAAACTTCGGCATTTGAAATTGCAGTTAAGTGGCAAGATTTACATGGATATAGGAATAAAAAAAATTGCCAGTCTACATTTGCAATTTTTTTATAGGGGGAATAAAAAAAGACAAAATCTAGGAATTTGAGCTAAAACATGTGAACTATATTTAATAAGGATACTATATACTTTGCCCCCCCCCCCCGAAAAAAAAGACATCATAACAAATTTTTAACTACTGTTAATTTTATAAAAAATGCAGACTTTTCAATGTGCAATACACTAATTTGTAATAATTTAACATAATACTCATTATTACAGAGATATGAAAATGAAGTTCCCATGACACACTAATTGGTAATAATTTTACTTTATACTTATAGAGTAATAAAAATGCATAAGTTAATAACTACATTATTTGAATATTTTCTTGTAGCAGAATATTTAAATTAAAATAACATGTTTTTATGAGCTACTTATTTTAACTGATCCACATCATATTTTTATTTATACTTATTTGTTTTTCATTCAATAATATTTTGTCATTCACTAATATCTAAAAAAAAAAAAAAAAACAGATCGATTACTTGTGGAGAAGTGATTATGAAATTTTGCGTTAAAAATATTATATATACAAATATAAACATACAATGATAAGCTATGTAACATTGCGCGGAAAAAAAGACATACTACGGCATCGCTATAATGATATTATTTTTTATCTATTCGCCATTGTACATTAAAATAGCCTTTTAATATTTTTACCGCCTCGGTGGAATTTTATAATTTCAAGCAATGCAATGCAATTTGCGCATGTCCGCTATATGCCAAAACATTCAGCCGGAATGCACATAAACACAAACCTATACAGGATAGTTCTACCACCCGCACATTACAAATAACGATACTTTACATTTCGATTGCATAATGAAATATTCGATCACACAAACAGAATACAAAATATTATAATTATTAATCTCAACTCTAATATGTATAGCCCCATTGTTGTTGCCTAGCACACCACAGATGAAAATATCATAAAAAAGGAAACATAGAGAAATAAAATGCTTAGAAATCCAAACTCTATAATTAAATATATTTACCTTACGTTTTAGCTTCCAGTATTATACTTATAAATTAGTAAATTTTAATTAAATAAATAAAATATAACTGACTTTCGCCAGGCGATCGCAGACGACAACACCGC